CTTCTAGCAGATGACTTTAATGCTCAAGTAGGTAGGTTAAACCACGCAGAAAGACATTTAGGCGGGTACTCTGGTATTCCAGATCAGAGAACAGATAATGTTGACCGTCTGCTGCAACTGTGTTCAGACGGTCGTTTATTTCTAACAAGCACTGATTTTATGCATAAGGAGACATCGTCTAACATGGCGACCCCCTGCACCAAACCAACGATGGACTCAAATAGATAATATTGCCATCAGTCATCTTTGGAGAGGGTCGATAGAAGATTGTCGCTCATTCTGATGTACCTGCTTGGACTCCGACCATGCTGTAATACGGGCACACATCTGCTTGCGCTTCACTGGACGCAAAACAGCCACACTAAAAAGGCCCATTAGAATTGAGTTGAGTAGCGAGAAAACCGAAATTAGGTTCCAGGTACAACTGAGGTCATACTTAGGTAGTTCTGGAAACGAGGCTGACCCAGATGTTGCATGAAAAGATATACAAACAGCAGTGATATGTGTTAGTGATTTAAACCAAAGAGTAACAAAAACTCAGTGAATTTTTTCAAGGTCTATTGCACTGATGGGTTCTCGTAAACTCATCCCATCAGGTTCTGAACACGATGAAGAGTGAAAACAAATGAGACCTAGGTTAAGCAAAAGTCTAAGGAATGACCATGAACAGTGGTGAGTAACGAAAGCAAAAGAGATGGAAAAGGCAGCGGTTGTAGGTAACATCAAACAGCTTTCCAGACAAACAAAAGAAACTAGAATCAATAAGTCAAGTGTAACTGAGACTATTTCGGAAAAAGACAACATTCTTCTGCTCTCAGCCCAGACATTTGGAACGGTGGGAGGAACACTTTGGAGAACAATTTAGCTGGTATTCAGCTACTCTACAACTACCCTCGATTCCCAAACAGCGTAAATGGAACATTGAAGAAGGTCCCCCAACTCTAGCTGAAGTTCAAAAGGCTATAGTTAATCTGAATCGTGAAAGAGTAGCTGGTCCAGATGGATCGGCTCCAGAGGTCTTTAGGGATGGTGGTCCAATTTTAGCGATTAGGTTGACTGATATTTAGCTAAAATCTGGGAGTTGGACGTAATCCAATCTAACTGGTCACAATCACTGATTATCCCAATATATAAGAAGGGGTGAAAATCATCCCGTGATAACCATAGAGGGATTATTTTAACTAATATAGCATCTGAAATACTATCCTCAATAATTATCAGTCGTCTAACAAAGACTCGTGAACTAACTGCAAACACGAGAAAATCAGGCTGGCTTCAAACCTAGTTGTGGCTGTACCGACCATATATTCACCATTCGTCAGGTTCTAGAACACAGACATACTTATCGGTGTCCGATAATGGTGATCTTTCTTGACTTAAAAGCAGCATTTGACTCCGTAGACCGCGAGATTCTGTGGCAGTGTCTGTCATTGAAAGGCGTACCTTAGAAGTACATAAACCTTGTGAGGGCTCTTTACTCGAACAACACCAGTCGAGTGAGAGCTTATGGTGAACTGTCATCTGCTTTTGCAACCTCAAATGGCGCCCATCTAGACTGTCCACTATCTCTATTTTTGTCCAACTGCATCATAGACATACTGATGGAAATAACATTGTCGTCGACTGGATTCTCGGGTATCGATCTCCAACCAGGAGGTTCACTTATCGACTTAGAATACGCAGATGATATGGTCCTGTTTGGTGAAAGTGATAATAAAATGCAGATTCTTATGTAGCACTAAGCAACAATACCAGAATGTTCGGAATGCGCTTCTCTCCCTCTAAATGCAAGTTGTCACTTCAGGACTGGCCTGCGTCAACACCTGAACTAAGGATAGGGAGTGAAGTAGTCGAACGCGTTGACAACTTTACTTATCTTGGAAGTCTGATCAGCCCTAATGCGTTGGTGTCTAGCGAAATCTCAGCACGGATTCGAAAAGCTCGTTTGGCTTTTGCCAACTTACGTCACCTATGGCGAAGGCGAGATATCCGTCTATCAATAAAAGGACGAGTATACTGCGCGGCAGTCCGTTCTATTTTAATTTACGGCAGCAAAACACGACCATTAAGAGTAGAAGTTACTCGTAAGCTACTAGTATTTGACCACAGATGCCTTAGAAATATTACTGACGTTTGCTGGGATCACCGGGTAACTAATAGTGAGGTTAGACGCAGGATATTAGGGAATGATGGTAAATCAATTGATGAGGTTGTGAATCATCATTGACTGAGATGGTTGGGCCACCTGTTACGTATGCCTGAACACCGATTACCGCGACGTGCAATGCTAATCGGTGTTGGGGATGGCTGGAAGAAAGTTGGGGGCGGCCAAACCAAAACGTGTCATCAGTGCTTGAAGTCACTAACTTCTAGTCTGAGCCATGTTGGTAAATGCAGACTACTTGGTTGGGGTCCGTGTGACTATCGTAATCAATGGTTTGAGACTCTGTGTGACATGGCTCAGAACCGATCACAGTGGCGTCGGTGTATACACTCTGTCTTCCCTTAAACTAAGAGATTAAAATCGCTTCATATCTTTTTTTCTACAAACTAATTCTTTCTTTCTGTACTGTATCCTTATTGCAATCTTTCTTTCATATATTACCACCTCTGAATTAACTACTTTGATGAATCCGGTGTTCATCTTGTTGTGTTAATGAGGTATGGCAACTTGGACCGATGAATATATGTGCCTGGTTCTACGCTGTAGCTGACTGAGTGACTTATCTTAAAAAGCTGGATACTAAGAAGTTTCTTCTGTTAATTTCAACAAACAGGATACTTCTATGTGCTCAGAAAATTAATTTGGATAATGAGATGAGAAGACGAAGGTTATTAGAATAATGTGATATGGTCGCCCAATACAGTTGGAACAGTTTGACCACACATATACTTGGTAAGACTTTGTATACAAAAAATAAAAGGTCGACTAGACAAATGAAAAGGCAAGGAGGAACAAGGTACACGATGTGGAAAACAACGCTCGATAATAAGCCAGCATTACGAGGGTAGGTTAAGGGCAAGAACAGATTGTCTTTGAACACATAAAGGGGTTTCAGTTTTGTTCACAGACATTCAGTGTCCCCAGCTATTTGTAAAACATGTATGTAACTTCTATCTATCATGAACAACGCAAGAAATACTGTACTTTAACAAAAGAGAGTGCGCTCATATCTGGCAGAATGAGACAATGAAACTACACTGTAAACATACCAACAGAGTAGGTTGTAAAATGGACAAATTTCAGAGTCACCGTTAAGAATAAAATAGTTAATTAGTACGGACGGTGTGCTTAATTGGTAATCAATTAAGGAAGTGTATTCGCACCAAAAAACAACATTGGAATTTTAAATAAAATGTTTTACAATCAGTAATGAAAGATTAACAGACTTGGTGAAATTCAAAAGATTGAAGCACTGACAAAACTTAGCAACAAATTAAGTTTGGCTAATTGAAGTAAATACCAAACATAAAAAGTGTAATATGACATAAGTCGCTTTTATGATAAATTTATGATGCATTAAAGGTGTAATAGTATGCAAAATTGTTATTAGTATTGTATATATTTATCAAAGGACACAAAATAGTGTCTATTAAAGTGAAATGCATTATACAGATTTACTTACTCTTATGAATTAGACCAACATTCCATAGTCTTTTATTTGTAAAACTTTAATTATTTTTTATAGATAACTTTATTATAAATTTCGTGTACTTGCCATGCAATAAATTTTTAACCATTAAACAACTTCATCCATTGAGCGAAAACTAAATAAGCCATTTCCCCTGAAAATCAGTGTTCGAAATGAGAACTAGCTTCGAACGATCATAGAGTTTTATATGCTTTGCACGACAAAAGTACTATTTATTGCATAGCTAAACCCATAATACGTGTGGAAGACTTAAATTGTAAACCGTGCCACGAACTAACGACCTAAATGTATTCAAAGTGAAATTCGAAAATTCCCTTCGCTTACCAATCAACCAGTGAAGAACTCTATGGGATATTTCGAGAACATAAGTCGTATTCAAATCTATTCGAAATTTCCGGTGAATGTGACAAATGACTGAGACGGATTGCAATGTGACCACTAGGACAAATGATTTGAAATCGCATCACACTTCGTTTTGATGTTAGTAGGTTAAAGGTAGTATAAATTAAGCATTGATTTTAGGTTTCGTGCTAGTTGAAGCTCGTCAGCAATCTTGAGGGAAATAAAACTGTGTTTTGAATTTTCGTTAACACCTCTCAGCTTCATAGAATAAGACGCCATCGTCGATCTTTTCAGGCTGAGACAACCTTCCGATGAGGCTGCGATACTCGCATTAACTCAACATTACATATTAATCAAGGTTCTGCTACCTAGGCCTAGGTTCATACTCGGCGGGGTTTGCCTGTTACATAAAATTGTAGGTCTAATGAAAGCCTGGTGGCAGTCAAAGTAAATGGCTGCATTTATTCATGAAGTTACTAAGTCCTGGTTTGAACCATGTTGGTTGTTGTAGAACATTTGACTGAGGCCCGTATGATTATCGGGAACAATGACGAACGGCATAAAGTGATATGTGTAAACATCGGTAGCGACTTCTAGGACGCTTTCACTGTTTATCTTTCCTTAGATCTTTAGTTTCAAAATTGTCCATTGCGTAAATCAATTTTTCCACTCTAATCATATTGCTTTTTAATACCACCGATAACGCCTCTCTTTTACCCTGGTTTTCACCTCACTACGTTGAGGTGTTGTAAAAACTTTGGTTGATACATATATGTAACTGGTTCTATGTTTCTTATAACTGACAAACTGAATATTGTAAATGTGTCTTACCAGCGAATGGAAGCTATCACGAGACATAGACCTATGTCAAATACTTTCAACCAACTGATACGATATCTACTTAACTGATAGCGAGATTTAGCCTCGCTTAAAACTGTTCCATAAAAAAACCTAAAAAAAGTTTCACTTGAAAAGTCTAGTAATAAGACATTAAAAAGGCACAAATACCTAAAATGAATACAAACGAAACTATTACTTAATAAACATTATTAGTAGTAAAAGTACAAAAAAGTGCGTTTATACCTACAACAATAAACTATAACAAAGATGAATTTATAAATTAAAATGATTCATGTGGTAAAGCAGTTCTTTTAGGGAAAAACGCATGATCTAGTGGGAAATGTAAGAGATTCGTAACTCTTGACGTATACAGTGTTGCATATTGTCCAAGACGTTGTGAAAAATAAGACGGATTATGAAAAGAACGAAAAATACTTCCGAATTGTGGATTAAATACACATTTACTAGCACGTCTTAAAGCATTTCTTTCATCAAGCCACTTTTCAAGTAATAATTTTGCTTCAGCTGTATGAACATGCTGAAAAGGAAAAATAGGGGCAAAATAATATGCAACTGTACTGACTTTAGAATTAAATGTACTCACATGATTTTTTAAACTAAACATGTAGCATCAAGATGGATGAACAAGATTTAATTCAATGTTTTAATTTTTACCTATTACCATTTTAAGTTGAATCACAAAACCGCTATCTATCAAACGCTTTGAATGTTCTCATTCACTAATACAGAGTATTCACTTTTTGGAAGTTAGCCTGATTAGTTTAAGTCTATTAGATACACGATTTGATAAGACTGTTCGTCGTTGTTAAATTGTTTACAACTAACAGATGATGTTTTAATTAATCTAAGCAGCTTGTTCGATGATAAAGCCAAGACACCCGTTAGTACAACACATCATTATAAAAAAAAGAAAATAAATCAACTCTTCCCACATTAGTTCACTGCTTGAATGATAGTTTTGAAGACAGTACAAATGACTGAAGGTCATGATGAGATTGTTCGTCGACAAAAACATAAAAAAGTGCTTTCCGACTGATATTCAATATCCGTATGATTAGTGATTAGGTTTCATTAAATTATCGATGCAAATAATTTTCGTAAAACATAAAACTATGATAGCTGTAAAGCAAGTTAGTCAATCAGCTACAACGTAGGACCAGGCATATTTATGCACCGGTCAAAGTTGCCATACCTCATTAACACAACAAGATGAACACCGGATTCATCAAAGTAGTTAATTCAGAGGTGGTAATATATGAAAGAAAGATTGCAATAAGGATACAGTACAGAAAGAAAGAATTAGTTTGTAGAAAAAAAGATATGAAGCGATTTTAATCTCTTAGTTTAAGGGAAGACAGAGTGTATACACCGACGCCACTGTGATCGGTTCTGAGCCATGTCACACAGAGTCTCAAACCATTGATTACGATAGTCACACGGACCCCAACCAAGTAGTCTGCATTTACCAACATGGCTCAGACTAGAAGTTAGTGACTTCAAGCACTGATGCCACGTTTTGGTTTGGCCGCCCCCAACTTTCTTCCAACCATCCCCAACACCGGTTAGTATTGCACGTCGTGGTAATCGGTGTTCGGGCATACTCAACACGTGGGCCCAACCATCTCAGTCAATGAGGATTCACAACCTCATCAATTGATTTAACATCATTCCCTAATATCCTGCGTCTAACCTCACTATTACTTACCTGGTGATCCCAGCAGATGCCAGAAATATCTCTAAGGCATCTGTGGTCAAATACTAGTAGCTTACGAGTAACTTCTACTCTTAATGGTCGTGTTTTGCTGCCGTAAATTAAAATAGAACGGACTGCCGCGCAGTATACTCGTCCTTTTATTGATAGACGGATATCTCGCCTTCGCCATAGGTGACGTAAGTTGGCAAAAGCCAAACGAGCTTTTCGAATCCGTGCTGAGATTTCGCTAGACACCAACGCATTAGGGCTGATCAGACTTCCAAGATAAGTAAAGTTGTCAACGCGTTCGACTACTTCACTCCCTATCCTTAGTTCAGGTGTTGACGCAGGCCAGTCCTGAAGTGACAACTTGCATTTAGAGGGAGAAAAGCGCATTCCGAACATTCTGGCATTGTTGCTTAGTGCTACATAAGAATCTGCATTTTATTATCGTTTTCACCAAACAGGACCATATCATCTGCGTATTCTAAGTCGATAAGTGGACCTCCTGGTAGGAGATCAATACCCGAGAATCCAGTCGACGACAATGTTATTTCCATCAGTATGTCTATGATGCAGTTGGACAAAAATAGAGATAGTGGACAGTCTAGACGGGCGCCATTTGGCGTTGCAAAAGCAGATGACAGTTCGCCATAAGCTCTCACTCGACTGGTGTTGTTCGAGTAAAGAGCCCTCACAAGGTTTATGTACTTCTAAGGTACGCCTTTCAATGACAGACACTGCCACAGAATCTCGCGGTCTACGGAGTCAAATGCTGCTTTTAAGTCAAGAAAGATCACCATTATCGGACACCGATAAGTATGTCTGTGTTCTAGAACCTGACGAATGGTGAATATATGGTCGGTACAGCCACAACTAGGTTTGAAGCCAGCCTGATTTTCTCGTGTTTGCAGTTAGTTCACGAGTCTTTGTTAGACGACTGATAATTATTGAGGATAGTATTTCAGATGCTATATTAGTTAAAATAATCCCTCTATGGTTATCACGGGATGATTTTCACCCCTTCTTATATATTGGGATAATCAGTGATTGTGACCAGTTAGATTGGATTACGTCCAACTCCCAGATTTTAGCTAAATATCAGTCAACCTAATCGCTAAAATTGGACCACCATCCCTAAAGACCTCTGGAGCCGATCCATCTGGACCAGCTACTCTTTCACGATTCAGATTAACTATAGCCTTTTGAACTTCAGCTAGAGTTGGGGGACCTTCTTCAATGTTCCATTTACGCTGTTTGGGAATCGAGGGTAGTTGTAGAGTAGCTGAATACCAGCTAAATTGTTCTCCAAAGTGTTCCTCCCACCGTTCCAAATGTCTGGGCTGAGAGCAGAAGAATGTTGTCTTTTTCCGAAATAGTCTCAGTTACACTTGACTTATTGATTCTAGTTTCTTTTGTTTGTCTGGAAAGCTGTTTGATGTTACCTACAACCGCTGCCTTTTCCATCTCTTTTGCTTTCGTTACTCACCACTGTTCATGGTCATTCCTTAGACTTTTGCTTAACCTAGGTCTCATTTGTTTTCACTCTTCATCGTGTTCAGAACCTGATGGGATGAGTTTACGAGAACCCACCAGTGCAATAGACCTTGAAAAAATCCATTGAGTTTTTGTTACTCTTTGGTTTAAATCACTAACACATATCACTGCTGTTTGTATATCTTTTCATGCAACATTTGGGTCAGCCTCGTTTCCAGAACTACCTAAGTATGACCTCAGTTGTACCTGGAACCTAATTTCGGTTTTCTCGCTACTCAACTCAATTCTAATGGGCCTTTTTAGTGTGGCTGTTTTGCGTCCAGTGAAGCGCAAGCAGATGTGTGCCCGTATTACAGCATGGTCGGAGTCCAAGCAGGTACATCAGAATGAGCGACAATCTTCTATCGAACCTCTCCAACGATGACTGATGGCAATATGACCTATTTGAGTCCATCGTTAGTTTGGTGCGGGGGGTCGCCATGTTAGGCGATGTCTTTTTATGTTTAAAATTACTGCTTGTTAGAAATAAACGATTGTCTGAACACAGTTTCAGCGGACGGTCAACATTATCTGTTCACTTAGCCGGAATACCGAAATACCCACCTAAATGTTTTTCCTTTTGGCTTAAACTACCTACTTGGGTATTAAAGTAGTCACCTGCTACAAGTACTATGTTCGAGTGCTTAGTTTTTCGAAGAAGTTCAGAAAGCTTTCTGCATAATCCCTCTTTCACTTCATTCGGACTGCAGTCAATGGGAGCGTAGGCAGAAATGATGAAATATCAACGACAGGTGTCCCTATCCTTCCGAGTTCTTGCGGAACTGCTTAGCCGAGCAGCACATAGGCGACTGTTAACGGAGATCCACCCTAATAGTGTTTGTTCTACCCTCGTGCTTAAAGGTATGTCCACACCTGCTAGTCCATCAGAACTGGCCATCAGGTCACCAGATACACGGAGGGTGTATCTCGTTGGCTCTCCGTTTTGCGGAGGTGAGGTAAAGTGAATGACCACACTATGATCCTGTATGTGTGTTTCGGGGACACAGTATATGCCAATGGTACGAGATTCTACGGTTTCAGCCAAGGATGGGTGCTGGTCGACTTGACATCGGGTGTGTATGTTGAAGGTTCCAATGTGTAGTTTTGAGAGAGGTTTCAGTAGACCTGGGACAGTGTTTCGAGCACTAGAATCGTTGGCCATGGTACCACCTGAGGAGGGAATTCGGAGTTGAAAGTCGAGGTAGGAGGAATAATAAGAATTAAAGAGGAAGATTGTCTATGAATACAGTGATTTTGAGTTCTGTTAGAGGTATGAGGGCGGTTATAACTTTCCGGTTGCCCACACCGTGGAAGGGTCCTTCTTGAGGTACCTGAAACGGAAATTGGATTAGAGGTGGTCTTAGTGACCTGATAGAGTGACTGAAGTGTCCAAAGGACAACTGCTTGAGGTCGGTCACACACGACTTTTTTGAGTAATTTTCGTGTTAGCTTCGTACTTGTTCCAGTCAGTATAGCTCGATCGGTTCATTACGATAAGCAAGGCTGATCACCATCTCAGGGAGCAGCAATTGTTGCTATGGAGACAGGAGTTGGGTTAAATGTATTTATAGTAAATTAGATTGGCATAACTTGGATTTTTTAAGACAACTTTTTGGTCTGCGTACTTATTAGACATAGCAGTATATATAGTTAAGCATTTCTTTGAAGTTCAAGTGATAATTAATCTCAATTCAAATTATCTATTTTAAAAAGTATTTAGTATTCTCAGCTTATTAGTTTAAAAGTCATAAAATCAGTTATTACCCACCAAGTGCTCAGAAGCAAAACAATTTGATTCATGTTCCTTAATAAATAATAACAACCAAGTTATACAATACTTCTTTTTTAGTAAGTTAATAGGTAACATCGTATACTTTCATGTTGTTTTTATGCCCATAAAACGAGTAAATCCGAAGTTTAAAAAAATGTTTAACCTTTATAAAATTAAATCCAATAAATAAAAACTTTAGAGCTTTTTTTTAAAAAAAATGAGGCTTTGATGAGATTCATAATTGTTAACAAAATTAAGTTAATAGGACTATTCAAATCAGATTTACTTGGTTTTCCTGAATTAATCTTTCTAGCATTCTTAAACGTTTTAAATTAATTTTGAAATCATGATTATTTGCAGCAATAAGTTCACTTTCAAGTTCCGGTATAACAGCTCCAGTCATCCAACCATATGTACTGGCTACATCCTAATAAAAATAAAAACAAAATTGATTTAATTTCCAGCATGCTTCTATATAGTAATACATTGATTGTGTGTCAGGAAAGAAAATTTTACTTCATATTTACCAATGAATAATTCGTTCTATAATTAAAGTTAGTAAAGATTGATTGAAAATAAAGACTACAAACGCAAACATGAACAACACTGTTTATTGTATAACTTCGTTTGATATGAAGCGGAAGTTGGATACTGATCCATAATTGAAAATTATGTGACCGAAAAGTTTATTTACACTAAACTTCCATAGAAAAAATGTAGCATAATGAGAAGACAAAGTTGATCTGAAGAAAATGTGATGTACTTGAGCGAGGCATTACGAATAAATTAGGATTATGAACTTACTTTTCAAGGGAATTTACATAAATATAGAGAAAAGTCAAATCAATTAATAGTAATAGGTAAAGATATAAACGATGACAAGAGATAGTATAAAAATAAGAAATAGAAATATCAAATATTGGTGCCAGACTTGACATTAAACAATGGTTAAAGATAATCACGGGAAGCTCGAAGAGAGTACAAATTGCTGTTTAAAAACATAAAAGAGGAATGAATTTTCTAATGAGTAGATCTTTTATAAACTGAAGAAAAACTTCTTGGCAATTTTTATTTAAGGATTGAAACCTGTTTTAGGTCAACCCTATATTCTGTTCCAGTTATATACTTTGTCTATGGAGGATGATGGTTGTAAATACGCTGAATTTATTTGAGTTTGAAACTGTAAGTTTTCATTCATTCCGCCACATATATTTCACCACTCTTAATTGTATAGTTAGACTACTCTATTGTTCATAGATCATACACACACGTTAACTGGTAAATCCAATGTGATATATGACGCAATCATCCACTCAACATTGAAGACCAAATAAAATCATTTTTTTGAGCAACAATAAACCTGACCAATTCTAGTTTCCATCTAAAAATTATCTGATTTGACTCTCTTTAGTAGAGCAATGTGAACACGATTCTTTGCGATGGATTGGAAAAGGATTTTAAATTTCTACATTGACTAGTAACTTGAAAAACTACTTGTTATCAGTCATCAATTCGACGTATTTTCATGACAGATAAATTCTATGGAATAGATAACTCGCTGGGGCATACGAATAAGAAAATCTGACAAATATGTGAAAACTGACGTCATTCAGAGTTAACACAAACCTGATCTATATCCCCTACAATCCAGTTATTAGTTTCTGTAGTACCACAGTGAAAATTCAAACCCATAGAGTTGATGAGCTATTATAAATAAAAGCACTGAATACAGTATCATACTGAAGGCTATAAAAAGTGAACATTACACTGCTAAAGGTAATAATAATTATGAAAGATTATACATTTTTGAAAAAAAGGTTCTTATTTATATGCTCAATTTAATTCATAATTGATGGATGAGCCATGATACTACATACATTCAAGTAAATGGGAGAGTATTGTGAACTACTGTAAGAAATAACTTCAGACAATTTTATAATAATTAATTATTTTAAAAATTATTTATTTATTTAAGTAGATAAAGAAGGAAATCTATTGAAGTTCACAAGTAAAGTGGCATTTTCAGCAACATTTGATAATAACTGTAATGTCTTGAAACACATTAATTTGACAAAATTATGTGTAACTTGAGCTAAGTACTGATTTCTGCTATTGATAAGGATGTTTACTAAAACTGAGAAATACTTCTGCCTGTTACTTATTGTGACGGAATAAGACTACTTTGTTGACGAAAAGTAGAAAACAAAACTAAAGAAGCAGATTGATTTATTCACCAGCCACTAATTAAACGATATTCCAAATAGTGGTAATAATGAGTTATGTATCAATTTTAATGTTTGGTTCATCAATCATCAAATGTATACGAACAATTTTAAAAAATTAATAAATGAGCTGACTTAACCGGGAAATATAATTCCTCACTACATTATATATGTCTCCTTCCTGACAAGAACAATAAATGTTCATAAAAACACACAAAAATACATACATAACAATTACAACAGAATGTATATTGAAAAATTGATAACAGTTTATTCTGAAACTGGTAAAATGATGCAAGTTACCTTATACACAAGATTAAGTTAATGTTGATTATTATATGCGAATAAAAAATAAGGATAACTTATTTTAATAAAACGAACTCATACACTAATTAAACTAGACGTATGAAAAGTTGTTAATCATGCAAAACAAATTATTTACATAATACAGAAGTTAATATATCATTTGATAGAATAGTATAAGCATAGAGCTGTTGGTCTAACATTGATCAGTTTATGATCTAAAAAAAATCCAACAATTTTCACAACTCTGTGCTGATAATTATAGTGTCCTTACTGGTAGCTAGCTTCAAAAGTTAATTCTCAGAGTTCTAGTGAGAAGACATCACCAGTGGTGTTCAACCGTTTCAGGTATGGGGCAGTTATCCACCGAAGATGATCGCGCAATATCGTGGATTAGTTGAAGATATATATTAACACTTCTGGATGCCGGCTCAGTGGTCTAGAGGTCAGGCGTTCGTGCTAGATCGGAGGTCTTGGGTTCGAGTCCCACCGCATGCAGGATCGTGGGAGTACAATGCAGTGCAGTCCCATACTAGGACGAAACGGTTGTCCAGTATTTCTAGGCTTTAAAGGGTGGTATAACATTGATCAGTTATTGATCTCAGTAAAAACTCAATAATCTCTAAAACCTTATAATAATTATTTTGTTTATTTGAACTCTTATTTAATTGACCTTTATTAATTTGTGTATAAAATGACTTGGCAAGTATATGTGTGACCAGTTTGTTCAAAATGTGTAGTACAAATAAATCATACTTTTCACAGCAATTCCGCTTCTCAATGTTCTATCAAAATTTAAGTAAGATCATTTAAAAACATCCGACCGTATTGTGTATTGTGAAATCAGGTCATGTGAAAATTTATTATGATATAAAAGTGATTGATTAATTAATGAGCCTATAATTGTTTAGTCTAAAGTATATAATAATAATTTGGTCATTTCATCACAATTAATATATAAATAAATAGAATTACAATATTATTCTGTATACAAAGTTGATTAAATTTAACAAATCTTACTGCAAGATCAGCATAGACATGATCTCCAAAATATAATATACTAGCTGAAGACCAACCTGTAAGTTTTATCATCTGTTCTAAACAACCCTAGAAAAATAGAAATACAAGCATGAAAATCAAATATTAAATAAAACTTAAAGGTTAATAAAAAATGGTTTTGTTAAACTGAACAAATCAAAATGATTTGAATCATTTATTGAATATATATCACCACTTTGGAGTACTTAGTTATAGTGAAATTAAAGTATAGTTGGTCATTGAGTGTGGACATACAGACGCAACCCGCTGACTAGTAAGTATGTGATTTCCTCTCCACATTCATTTCTGCTCCAGATTTATTGAGAGTGACTGTTTGTAATTGTGTTGAATAATGTACCATCTGGCGTTAATCTGGTTCTCTACTGTGGGTTGTGAATCATGGACTTGATATAACGTGACTAGTCTCACTATCGTATTAACGTATGATAGTAGAATACATGAGAGAGAAAAATATTTTAAACCATCCGTTATATCATTTAAAGACAATCGGTCGTTTCTTATTAGCTAAAAGTAAACAACCTATTAAACAATTATCATATTTTTATTTTAAGCATAAAAAACAAACACGTTTTACATTGTTTATAAACCTTCATCTATAAATTTCAGTTCATGATCTATGGAAGAAGGAAATAAAAAATGAGGTGATTCTAAATTACTCAAATCATAAACTGTTAATCATATATTTACAATCTTATCATGAGTTAAAAGGAGATTGATACAAACTGTCTTATGACCATTTTACGACATTTCCATGTTTAATTAAAACCTTATCGATTAGATTATATGTAGGGATGTCTAGATCAATTTGCCTAAATTCTTCCTTATCTATTTTATTAAATGTCCCCTTGTTCATTATTTACCGTTTAATTTAAATGTATTTCGATTGTACTGGCCTTGCGTGTATGTCATCTATACTTGATAAGTCTTCTCTATTGCACGCTACTTTGTTGTATCGGGTCGTCGCTGATTATTATATGGGAATCGCTTATCACTTATATTCGAAAACGAGGAACCACTGCAATCCCCACGACGAGAAAGTAAGAACACAAAGACTGGTACAAGTGAAGATTTATTAACCCCAAAACACGACGATGACTCCAGTTAAAAATACACTCATTTATCTATTGATTGTACACCCGCTTTGATTAATAATTAGGATGAAATCACATATATATGAAAAATACAGTTATAACAAATCACATGCTGCATGTCATGCTGTGCATAGTTCATGTCAATTGAACACATGATTATCGTACATTGGGTAATGATCACATTGAATTAAAAAGGAAGTAACGTTGAACGAAAATCATAATGAGTAAATCAATCTAACTTTGACTTTTCTTCCCATCATATTAATACTCTTATTCTTTAAAATCTATAATTGATATATTATTCACCTTATTAAATACTAATTCACCCTTTCTTCACTGAGTAGACTTTTTCAGTTTCTCCCGCGAGCCTTGATTCAATTTCCTTATTCACTCGTTTAGTTTGTCTACTTACACGAATGTCTGAAATATGTCCCAAACGCAACTCGTATTCGACCTTTTATTTCTAGGTTTTATTAACATGATTGGTCGACAGAGTTATACATAGTTAAGCAGGCTATATATTTCATTGGCATCAATATCGCTCAATCATATTGGTGTCAACAATAGGCACGAAGTGGCCAGTCAAACCTCGTTCCTCGGAATATTATTATAGTTGGTTTTTACATAGGTTTTTTGATACGTTATTAATAACAAGGGATCCAAGGTCAACAGGAGTGTACAGCTATAAAACAATTCCGAAAAGGGATCTAATGAAATCTCTCTTTACAAACCTGATGTGAATTTCTTAACTAATTGAAACGCAAACAATATCATAATCGAGAGGAGCCTTACCTATATCTGTAGCGTTGGGTTTATTGAACGTTGAATAGCCTTAGGTGTGTATCTTACAAAATTTATTTGGCACAAAATAAATATAACAAAATCACATGGGAACCATTATAGATACCTAAATATTGACCAATGTTAATCATTTGAAAGATGATGGCCAATTAGTTAGTGTAAAAGTACAACTGTGACCATTTTTGTAAGATTCATGACAGTGTTATATTGTAAAATCAAAGTATGGTAAAATTAAGGAAGTTAAGATCACACAAATAAAAGTTTGCTTCGCATTCTATTCAAATATTGTGCTTTGTTCAGTATAAACCGACAAATTCGGTCAACATTGATTATTATTTGACAAGGATACGTCAGGGTCTGTTCAAAATTTTCGATTGCTATTCTTCTAAGCTTGAACATATTGCTGTAAAACTTCTCACTTTAAATAAATAATTACTTCTATTGGCTGAATGTACTTACGTGTTACCATAACATCTTTATAATCACTTAACATATTTTGTATCGAGAAACATTTGCTGATATCATATATTGGGAAATGAATATTCAGAATATTATTATTGTCATTATGGTGAAAATATATCACAAGTAATTGAAGACATACTCCTTCGTATATTTGACCTCGTTTAAATGTTTGAACTGCTTCCCAATGTTTGAAAGTCCCACTGATATCAGTGCGTCGAAATTGCCTACAAAATGTTTGAAAATTACTTAAAATTCATGGGATAGGAGATATAACCTAATATTTATAGGATGCGGAATCATGAAACGAAAAAGCTCAGGGATATGTGTTTATGAATCAACCAATAGAATTTGTTTCCCAAAAATGATGGACACTAATATGAGGAATGCTATGACAAATAACTAGGCCTCACTTCACAGGAAAGATAGGGTCTAAAGTTAGATGATGAGCAGAATGATTACAAAGGGAATTCACCTTCCAAATTAAACCGGTATATGTTTTCAATTATAGATATTTATATATAGTTAATATATATATTTATGTATTCTCAGACGAAAGACAATATCATATTACACATTACCAATCCCGAAGAATTGGTTCATTCATAAGTACAGATATACTCTTAGTCGGAATGACTACAATTTTAATTTGAACATTTAGAAAGAACATGTAAAATGTTGCATAATAATATCAATAAGGCATATTTACATCGTTCTCAGTTAATGAGAAGCCTTGAAATATAATGATATAAGGTTATTCAGTAAATCACGTTCGTCTTGTTTTATTTATATTAATCACGATAAATTAATTTCAGTTTGTATAAAAACAATAATGTAAAGAAAACAAGCTTTATTAAGAAAGTATTGAAATTAGAAAGTGAAAAGTCTCACTAATATTTTTGACTTGAATTGTTCAATTAATTAATCGATTGAGAAAAATAAATGCTTGAAATTACATACTACTTGTGTCTAAACTATATGCTAAACCAGATACAAAAGTGAATGAGTTATAATGAGCTTGAATTGTAAGTATTGTTATTATTACTAGATAAGTCTTATTGTTCTGTTGTTTTTTTTTAAATTCTATACAACAGACAGATTTTTTTCCAAATAAATGTACAGATTTATATCATAACTTTGTCCTTCAGTCTTTTGTTTTACAGTTCGCTTAAAACTTTTAGAAATTTTGATAAAGAACTGTAAAAATTTTCACGTTCTATTGTATTTAATCATTGATCAACCCTTATCTCATTTCAGAAATTTCACAGACAATCGGTCATAAGACCTTCTAAACTAGGATTCAAATGTATTGTATTGAGATCAAAACAAAACTTCACAAGATTGGTGATGGTGAATTTGGCTGATAATTTTATTTGACCGGATTATGAGTTTAAGAGAAATGAAGTAGGCGGTTTTTTACCATAATCTCAAATAGTCTTGAGTTATGCAACTTCAAATTACTGTGGTAGAATAATTATAAGTCCTTATGTTAAGATTAACACTAAAGAGCTCGATCGCAAATTTTTATTGCAAGAAAATGTTCTCACCCGTGGTCCGGCTCAGTTGCTAATAGGAGCCCCCTAACATCTGGATAAGTCGACTTGTCAGAGGAATATGATTAAGAGTGTGGTAAATTGCATTTGTCGAACGAAAACACTAATAATGACCACTTATCCTTCTATCTAAAAGATTACATTGAGTTATCTGGTAGGGCATCCGCATTTTCCAGCTTTGTCACTTGTTTTATCGAGGGAAAAAATATATATATACTTTAAAGTGGTGCCAATCAGATATTTCCTACTGAATCTACAGGGGTGGTATATCTAATCTGTGGTTACTTTATCCAACTTTCAATACGGTCAACATATTAGTAGATTCCATGATAGTTATTATCAATTCTCTCGTCGTTAATCAATAAATCAAATGTATTAACATATATTTAACCGTAAAATACATGAGTTTTATCGTTAATGAATTGAAAGACCCACTAGTTTAATATAACGAACCTAAATGAGAGTCATGATTGTTCATACAAGACAGCTTCTCATTTGTGAATCCTGATAGTGATCAGCCTATTAACAATTCATTCACACTAAATTGAATTTATGGGTTTCAATACAGAGAAACTGATTATCAGAAAAGGCAATTTGTGTTGATTCAACAAAATTTATTTACATGATAATCAGGAAGTATAGAATAATCAAAACAATTTTTCACAGTAAATTTAACTACTTAAATAGTAAAAAGAGTATAATTCGGTTTACTAAAATAGAGACAACTAACTAAAAATAAAAATTTCAAAATTAGAGGATTTTGAGAGAACATCAGCTTTGCAAAAGCTATATGGATAAGTACACGACCGCATGATGTATACTTGACATAAAATTTGAGGTGACAGTAAATAAAGCACATGAACAAATCATTAGGAGTGACAATGATAAATAAATCCACGCTATATTGAAACATCTAACTTTTTACTTCGTATGATAGCAAAAAACGAACTCTACGTAAATTTGAAATTACAGCTAGGAGGTCTTCACTAAAAACAACAAAACCATATTAAGAGTAACTGGCGCAACTTTAGAAACCTCGAAAGTATGGTGAGTGAAAGGAGTTGATTTGAAAAATATTTAGTACATTTCGAGCGATCCCATCACATAACACAGTACTTTTGAAGTTTCCTTACATTGATATTCTAAGAATTATAAATACATTTGGTTAATAAGTCCATGGCTTTATTTTAAGGACTAGTAAGTATTACAAGAGTAAGGTATACACTAACGATGAGAAAACCGTGAAGTTTTTGGTGAGGGGGTAAAATTACTTATTAGAAACAGAATCGGATGAAACATACAGCAACGAAGTAATATAAACAATACAATTAGATACATATAAATAGAAGAAAATTTGAGACTAACCCGAGTGGTGATTTAAAGAACGATGGCTTATTGGCTCTAGAAATGATCACGTCAAATAATTCTTGCCAGTCGTTTCCAACCAAAAATTTCAAACCCCTATCACTTTAGTTATGAATTATGAAAGTAAGATAAATTAGTGAGTGAATAAAACAAATAAACGTAGATAGTTTAAGAAACAAACAACCATAAAGTATCATTCTAATACAGTATAAACATAATAATAATAAAGTATTTTGATTATAAAAACAGGTTGGTGTACACCGCTATGGGCCAGATATTCAGTGTGGGAGTTTGTTTTACTATCCGACTGCTTGAACTGAAGCGGATGAAACGGGATAAGAACATGGCGAGGTGTTCGTTTACTGACTATGCTCCCATCAGGGTCTACAATTTAACAGATCAAACTTAATCTATAAGCTACAGTCATCGTGTGATCTTTGATGAATGAACGAAAGTAATGTACCAATGAGAATAAAATTAATAAAAAGCTAAGTGACTATAATCATGCGGACAAGATAATTATTTATATTATTAGTTAAACATACTGTTTATATGAAATTCCCTCTTTTGAGAAGAAACAGGAAACACGTTGTTCAGTGCTAGTAAAATTATTACTCGTTCTGTGATGACGTTTCGAATTAATTGGATTGTTAATAATGACATCGAGATATTCAATAGTCTTACTAGAGAATATTTTTTTAATATACAATAAAGTGATTACTGGTATATTATGTCTTCAGAAACGTGGTTTCTCTGCGAAAAATGTAATCAAGTTGCATTTCCAGTGGAAAGAAACAACTGTTTGAGACGCTTACAGAAATATTCGATAAGAAATCATCGATGTTCACTAGTTACAAAACGAAAACTGAGGTTAAAGCTATAGATAATGGTTAGTATAAAATATTTAGTAATAAGAGACTTTTAGTGATGTTGTTTACACTGAATTAAATAATAAATTTCCCAAGGTTTTACTGACATTTTAAACGGAATTCTTAGCGCCCACTTCAAATAAAAGTGAGTTGTTGTTAAACTATTCCACTGATAAACTTGTTTATAATGTATTACTTTCACAGGCTTCTTGCCTTACTATGCGTCTTTGCATTCTCATAGCGTTTCAATAGGTTGACTTCTTAACATACGATTAATTAACCTTGTACGTATGCGTTAATAGATTCAATACATATTGACCAGTTAGTACGTTTTGGAAGCTTAAGATAGTAATATTGATCAATGAAAGAATGACTGGTTATGGAGATATTTTTAAATAATTTCGTTCGATTGGTTTTAAAAAATGTAGACTTACATGTAAGCAGCTGAACTGTTTGAAATAACAAATAACTTCTTATTATTTTTTACTAAGCGATATAAAAACGTAGATAGTTCAGGTGCCTTCGCAATATACCTTTCTGTAAAGTTAAAATGAATCATATTCTCAATAGGTTGGGTACACATGTTAAATTAAAACTTAGTTTTCTTAAAAGTAAGCATTATTCAAATATTAGTCTTTTAATATGATGGGGATCTTTAACCAATTAATGGAATAATCAATGAAAGTTATGATACAATGAACGTCCCTATCTATTCTGAAGCTTCTCGTTAGTACGTTACTTTTCACAGTTTGACATCAACACTTATTGTTAATGATATTAAAAAACATGTTAGAATTCATCAAGTACCATCTGAACTTAAGAAGTTTTAAAAATTAAATTGCCATAAAAACAAAGCTTTTAGATTCTATCTCAAACATCGCCCATCAACAACTTACAGATATAAACTTTATAAGTAAGAAAAAAAACACAACTCCCTTAATGTTCAGGTACTGCTGAAAACGAAAGTGGATAGTGGTCGATCAAACCTCTCAAAACAACGAAGTGGGATTAAAACTAGTATTGACAATTTATCGAACAAAAAATAAGACACATGCTATCTAGAGATAAACTGTATTAAGTTACCTGGATCAGACATTACGGTTTGACCTAGAAGGCCAGATTTATGGACTCTTGCTACAGTTGCCTAAAAGATAAGTGTACATGGGATGAGAATTGCTAGTATTATCATGTTGACTTTAAATAAATAAATAGATATATAGGTATCATTACCACGGTTTGACTTGATAATTTTGAATAAACTGAGCATTGGGTAGATTGTTATAAATAAATAATATATTTGTAATATCCCAATGAATAGAAGTTAGATTTTCTGATGTTTCGCGACTTAGTGTAAGCCACTTCTTCAGAGAATAAATAACCAAATCAATAAAAAATTCCATTTATGTCAACACAGAACTGCATCTACAAATTAGGTTGTATCGATTGTGATGCTTTCTATATTGGAAAGTCATCTCGCGAAATCTCGACTCGTGCCGAAGAACATATTAGGTATACAAAGAAACCTCTTAACAATCCCTTAGAACTGAATAAACTTCAAATGAAATCGGCAATAGCAGTTCATGCGATTTCCAACGACCAGTAAATCGATTTCAAAAATATCAAAATATTACAAACAGGTTTTCCCAATTACAAAGAAAGGAGAGTAGCTGAAGCGTTCCATATAATGCTTAATCCTACTGCTCTCAATAGAAAAGAAGGCCTTACCATTTGTTCTACTTGGACTATCTATCCTAGCCACCTGGGCTGATATTACTGACAATTCACATCATAATCTAACAAATTAAACTCTACCCTTTTTCACCATAAAGGTCACACAGTTTTCATCCTTACAATGCACACATACATACTCACAAATTTACAAAAATGTCGCTTATGAATTACAAACAAATAATGGATGTTATCAGAAGGGGTTTGTGGATATTTAAGAAATTTTCACAGATTGAAATTATGAGTCAGTTGAAGCTAGACCACCATGGAAAACCCGGGAGCACTGGACGGCTGTTTCGTCCTAGTATGGGACTCCTTAACAGCGCGCACCCACGACCCCGCACTCCGCGGGACTCGAACCCAGGACCTACTGGCTTCGCGCGCGAGCACTTAACCATTAGACCACTGAGCTGGCATCCAATGGTATACAGTGGCGCAACTTCGTGGATTGGTTGGAGGTAGACATTAACACCGTTGGATGCCAGCCCAGTGGTATAGTGGTCAGGTGCTCGCGCGCGGAGCCAGTAGGTCCTGGGTTCGAGTCCCGCGGGGTGCGGGGTCGTGGATGCGCGCTGCTGAGGAGTCCCATACTGAAACGAAACGGCCGTCCAGTGCTTCCAGGTTTTCCATGGTGGTCTAGCTTCAAATGACTCATGATTTCAATCTGTGAAAATAATGGATGTGAAAATAAGGTTAGTGATAACAAAAATAGAATAGAATAAATAAATAATAATAAAAATTAACAAGAAAATCGTTAGTTAACTTATAACTGGCCATGGAAGGGATAGGAGGATCACGAATTTCTTCTGTACACATTAATTGGGGTTATATGTACGATTGATTTTCTCTTGTCGACCAGAGATGTCTACCCAAACGAAGGATAAGTTGAGTTGGCCTCTTCAATGTGCATTTACAAATTCAGCTGCTCCTGTGGAGATAGCTATTTCGGATGTACTGCCAGGCAACTTAACCAACGAATGAGTGAACATCTACCAGCTTGGTTTAAAAAAGACCAGATAAAAACAATTCGCAGTTCCATCTTGGCAGATCTTATTGATAGCGGTCATGCCATAGATAAATTGAAATCATTTCGTATAGCTCCATCATTTCCCAATGGAGTTCGTTCCCGCCTACCACATATAGCTGAAGCCATGGAAATTCGTACATATAACCCCAATTAATGTGTACAGAAGAAATTCGTAATCCCCCTATCCCTTCCGTGGCCAGTTATAAGTTAACTAACGATTTTCTTGTTAATTTTTATTATTATTTATTTATTTTATTCTATTTTTATCATTAACCTTAGTCTCACATCCATCGTTTGTTTGTAATTTTCCGCCTCTTTACGTTTGTATTCTTCACTATCTAATTATTTACACACTTCTTATTACGTAGTGATTTTAATGTTTTGTGGTGACTATTCCAAGTCTATTTACCCACGTTTGACCTCCTGTTTCCAACGTTTAACTATTGTTTCCGATTGAGATCATGAGTCAATTGAAGCTAGACCACCATTGAAAACCTGGAAGCACTAGACGGCCGTTTTGTCCTATCGTGGGACTCCTCAGCAGTGCGCATCCACGATCCCGCTAGCGGGATTCGAACCCAGGGCCCTCAGTCTCACGTGCGAACGCTTAACCTACTGGACCACTGATCCGGCATCCAATGGTGTTAATGTCTAACCTCAACCAATACACGAACTATTGATAAGACTTCTGTTATCGTATTTTAATATTCTTATTACTATCAGTACACCTGTCTTCCTACTATCAACATGTATTTTTACTTATTATGTGTGGTGACCTATTCTACTTCATTGTGATTATTGATCCAAATTACTTTGATTGGTTTAACATTTGTGTATAAATATTCATGTATATTAGAGTACAGCCTGATGACGATCTAATTGAAAACAATTGTTCGCTTATGTGTGTTGTTATAATGATTATTGTACATATCAGTTGGAAGTTGAATATCCGTTTTACGGAGCGTGATATATAAGAGTAGCGATTCGACATACGTACGATAATAAAGGATTTAGACTATTTATTGAGAAGGATATACGTCTGAAAAATCTTAGTACTTAAGTACTATGCACAGACGAAGTGGTGGTAAACATACCATAATAATGAGTTTTAAAACAGGATCAAATTAACAATGAATATAAAATATGACAGTAAAACCGGAAAATGCTATATTCGTATATAAACGTAAATCAACAACATGTTGGAAATACTCTGTTAAAGACCTACAGTCAGCCACTGAATTAATTTATAGGTGAGTAGTATGATTTTTATTTCATATATCTCATGTTCAACGCATACTTTACAATAAAATCAAGAAATACTGACCTAATATTCGGTATATTTTTTCGCTGACATGTATGTTTATCATACAGTGTCTACAAATATTAATTAGAACATGAGGCTTATATAATTTTATAGTGCTTTCGTGACAATTATAGGTGATGATAATAATAACAATACAATGAAACTTCTGCATGCTACTAGATAATTGAAGAACACTTACAGAAACATCCTGATAAACATAAACAGGTTTATAATCTATTCCATGTCGATCAAAAAACTGTAAATGAGAAAAAAATTATTTGGTTGATTGAAAGAAAAGTATTGTCAAAAAATTCATTGTAGCAGTAAATAAATAGTAATAATTGTAAGTCAAAGGATAATGAAAAACATTATACATGGAAATTATATTGGAAACAATGATTTCAGCGATTGAAATTTAAATATTTCCAACATTTCGTCCAGCAAACTAGTCTGAACTTCTTCAGGGTAATAATCAAAATCAAAATTATCAAATAAATATATAGTGCTTAACAATCAAATCTTTATTGTGCTAATCCAATCATATTTAGATGTTAACTTTGGTAAATAGGATAACATGAGTCGGTTAAATGAGAATCATGTAAAAAGTTCACATTGTGAAAATGAATGAATTGTGTGTGTGTGTATGTGTAAGATTGAGTTGTTAATGATTGATATCATGTGTTAAATTTGCTTTTATATAAAGGAAAAATAAAAGTGCAAGTTGAAGAAGTCCGGACAAGTTTGCTGGACGAAACATTGAAGTTATTTAAATTTTAATCGCTGAGATTATGCCAAATATAATTTCCACATATAATGACTTCTTTATAATTGACGTGCAATTTTTTTCAAACTATTCGTTCTAATATTGACGAATATTCGTATAGATAATGAAAAACGTTCTCGGTTTTAGGTTTCGAGTAACTCAAAGTTCTTGTTTCAATTAAGATATCAACATATTATTTAATTAAAGAAGTGTCCATTGTACAAGTCTTAATTCACTCGACTATCAATACTAATTTAGCTTATATCAATTAGTGAAGATTATCCTTAAGAAAATGTAAAACAAAAATGTCAACGAAAATCTTGTTGAATAATTATAATTATAAGGTGTGTGTTTTCATCAAGTTTCCATAACAACAGTAACTGAAAGATTTTTGTTTAGACAGTTTATTATAATATTTTAGTAAACATAAAAAATTTACTTAACAGACCAGAATTTTAGTTAAACTTAGTAATTTAGAAGATCAATGCTGATTGTATTAAAATAATATTTGAAATGCTGAAAAACGAATAATCCTGTGTCTATTTTGAACAAAATTCCCTAATGATAAAAGTGAATTCAAGATTGTATTAGCTACTGAGTCTTGTAATTGGAGGAGGAAACATAAAAGTGATTAGTTTAAAACTAGATAAGATTTCGATTTTACTCAAACTTCAACTTTCTAGTCAGATTTTATTCAGTGAACCGATATTTTTATTCCTGTTTTTATTTTATCTAATTCCTGTCAGAATTGAGTCCAAGTTAATTCTAAGTTGTCATATATCATTCAAGTTGATGGGCTCTTGTCAGAAGTATTGTTTTTATTAGATTAATTATTTTTAATTTCCAAGTAGTTCTCTCTATTCAGTTACTGTTGGAATGATTAATAATTACTTTATAAAACTGATAAGAGTTGACTATATTTTGCAAACGGAAAAAAAATCTACCCGAATGATTTTAGTTCTATCCAAGTCGATCAAGTGATCAGTTTCCGCCAAATCTAGTGGTGTCTACAAAACGTTTTCGAGTTATCTAAGGTTTATATGGAATTAGGTTTTAGTCGTTAAAGCTCCCTTTTCATTCAAGTAGCTGGTTTGGAAGCTTGTATATTAATAGAAGAATCGCAGGATCTCACAGATTAACATTTTTTAGTACCACACTATGATTTTTACTAACTTAAAACGTACAACACAGTTTGAAAGACAAAAATGTTCATAAGTTTTGATGGTATGGGATCTTTCAGATGTTCGCTAAAGATTCTTTACGGTATCACAGATACACAGAAGTAGTAATCACTCATTCAGTCAGACCTTCATATGCAATTTTTCATTCCTATTCTCAATTATTTTATTTATAAAGTCCTTAAGATTATCATTTATTATCGCTGTAGTTACAATTAAATCTAACTAGGAATTTTAATGCTTCAATTCTGCGATGAGTTGTTGAAATCTGCTAGTCACAATCTTTGCAACTGTTACCGTCGCTGATAGTGATTTCGTGACCTGTCTGCTGAGTATTTTTCGGAATCTGGGTTTTTGGGATAAATCAATTCGCAAATAATTATTACGTTCTCTTTCGAATGAGCAGTCAATAAATCCTAGTTTGTGGTCATCAGATTCCGTATTTAGTGAACTTGATTCCATCTGACATATTGTTAACATGATCAAAGAGTTTATCTAATCCATCTAGTTTTGTAATAAAAAATGTGTTTTCAAAAGAAACAACCAGATTTTAAGTGAAAAGAACATTTTGAGATTACATTTGTTTCCGATGAGTCCATGATCAAGTCAGCGACAACTAGGGAAACTGATAGTCACAGTCAGTCAGCTACAACGTAAGACCAGGCACATATGTGCATCTGTCCAGGTTGCCATACCTCATTAACACAACAAGATGAACACCGGATTCATAGGAGTGGTTAGGTTAAAAGTGGTAATATATAGGAGAAAGATTGCATATAGAGATATAATACAAGAAGAATTGGTTCGTAGAAAGAAAGATATGAAGTGATTTTAATCTCTTAGTTTAAGGGAAGACATGGAGTGTATACACCGACGCCATTGTGACCTATTCTGAGCCATGTCACACAGAGTCTCAAACCATTGATTACGATAGTCACGTGGACCCCAACCAAGTAGTCTGCATTTACCAACATGGCTCAGACTAGAAGTTAGTGACTTCAAGCACTGATGACGCGTTTTGGTTTGACCGCACCCAACTTTCTTCCAGCCGTCCCCAACACCGATTAGCATTGCACGTCGCGGTAATCGGTGTTCAGGCATACGTAACACGTGGCCCAACTATCTCAGTCAATGATGATTCACAACCTCATCAACTGACTTACCATCATTCCCTAATACCCTGCGTCGGATCTCAAGATTACTTACCCGGTGATCCCAAAAAACGTCAGCAATATTTCTAAGGCATCTGTGGTCAAATACTAGTAGCTTACGAGTAACTTCTACTCTTAAAGGCCATGTTTCGCTGCCGTAAATTAAAACAGAACGAACTACCGCGCAGTATACTCGTCCTTTTATTGATAGACGGATATCTCGCCTTCGCCATAGGTGACGTAAGTTGGCAAAAGCCAAACGAGCTTTTCGAATCCGTGCTGAGATTGTGACCAGTTAGATTGGATTACGTCCAACTCCCAGATTTTAGCTAAATATTAGTCAACCTAATCGCTAAAATTGGACCACCATCCTTAAACACCTCTGGAGCCAATACATCTGGACAAGCTGCCCTTCGTCGTTTCAGATTAACTATAGCCTTTTGAACTTCAGCTAGAATCGGAGGACCTACTTTAATGTTCCATTCGCACTGTCTGCGAATATAGGGTAGTTGTAGAGTAGCTGAAGGCCAGCTGAACTGTTCTCTAAAATGTTCCGCCCATCGTTCTAAACGTCTGAACTAGGAGCAGATGAGAGTATCGTCTTTATCCGAAATAATCTCACTTACACTTGACTTATTAATTCCAGTTTCTTTTATTAGTCTGTAAAGCTGTCTTGTGTTCCATATAGTCGCCGCCTTTTCCATCTCCTTTGCTTTCGTTACCCACCACTGCTCACGGTCGTTCCTTAGACTTTTTATTAACCTAGATCTGATCTCTTTACGCTCTTCATTATGTTCGGAACCTGATGGGACGAGTTTGCGAGAATCCATCTGCTAGAAGTACTATGTCTGAGCGTTTAGCTTTATGAAGAAGTTCGGACAGCTTTCTGTAAAACTCATCTTTCACTTCATCTGAGCTGCGGTCAGTGGGAGCGTAGGCAGAAACGACAAAGAGGCAACGACGTGTGTCCCTGTCTTTCCGAGTTCTTACGTCGCCGTTTAACCGAACAGCACATAGACGACTGTTGACGGGGATCCACTCTAGCAGTGCTTGTTCGGCCCTCATGTTTAGTTCTATGCCTACACCTGCCAGTCCACGAGAACTGGCCATTAGGTCACCAGATACACGAATGGTGTATCTCGTTGGCTCTCCGTTTTGCCGAGGTGAGGTCAAGTGAATAACCACACTGGAATCCTGATAGTCTCACAGCTACACCTTCTGTTTCCCTGGAATCCCAAGGTTTTTATAATCTCAGCGAAAGCTAACGGGCAGTACAACTTTAAATCAGTGTCAGATTCTAATAAATAATACCCAAATCTTTATTAATAAGGAGATTAGTAAATAAGTATGAACCTCGACTGGTAAGAATAAATCAATGAATAAACATTTATGTTAAAAACATACCACTAATACTCAGTTTTGACCTTGAACTGGTTATTTTTTGTTTAACTATAAGTCATGAAATTGTACCTTTTTTACAAATATGACTAGTTTCCTCATTGAGTAATTTCGTTGCGTTCCTATTACTGTTTGGTATGTGTGCTTATTGTTCCCTGTTTCTAACTGACTGTACTATTTTAGGTCCTTGTATTAATGGTATTATCACCACCTTTAATTTGGTTTCTAGTAAAACGTTTGGTAACAACGACCTGATAATATAAAGAAACACTTTGTAGTTCCCAAACATTGAAGCTTTTCCTTGACTGTTTCATCGTAAATCACTAGCTCAGACTAAACTGAAACAGAAAACTAGTAGTTTTTTCACCGATATCAGCTTATTTTGAAAGGTATTTTAAAACCAATAAACTTCTCTAAACGACTTCTTTATATAGTATAAACAAACTTATCGGCCAACTGATCCAGATACAAAATAGTAATTGGAACAAAAATATAAATGGAGAGTGACAGTATTTTTAAGTAAAACAATGATAATTTTAAAAATTTGTAAGCGCTAAAAAATAAATTCTAATAATACGACTTACATCTATAATAGAACATACAAGATTAATTTCCGGTAATCGGAAAAGATCCATCAACTGAATCATAATGGTGTCCTAAAATGTACAAAAAAAACCTAAGTGGTAGTTACACATTTATTTAGTGACCAAGAGTTCTTGAAAAGTAAATCATAGGACATGTAGTTTGTAGTTTTTGTGAGTGGGTCCGGGAAGGCCATGAGTTTTATGATCATTATCATGAAATCCATATCCAACAGATGTAAGATAATCCTTTTGACGCGAACCATAGAACTTATTATTTATAGTCAAGAAGACTAAAATCTATGTACTGAACACCAAAATTGTTTATCACAAATTGAGTACAACGTACTGCAACGATAAATAACTTACCTTTGTGGGGATTTTTTTTTATTTCTGAAGGTAGTGACGAGTATATAGAGTAATTAACACCCACGGAGAAACTAGAGAATAAAACAATAAACTAAATAGTTTTGGGCCATACGACTAATTGTTTCGGACTAAAAGATGAGCGTCAACTTAAGTTCTGAATTTTATTGTCCCCCACTATCAAAAGTAAATCACGTAGAGACTTTTATTCCAAGTCAGTCAGTCATAACCAAAGTACAAATGACTAGATGAATGAGAACAACAGTCGGTTTGAAAACCATTATTTATGGATCGAGGATCGTCTACTTTTGATAAGGAACCTGATGAAATGGATAAAGATGAGCTATACGAATAATGGGGTGATAAAGACAAACGATGATAGCTGCGCTGCCGAATAGACCCTATTTTGCTATCTCGAAGAAGGGTTTTTCTTTGACTCCGTTGAATATGAATGGAAACGTTTGAAAGATTTTCGAGACAACAGACCCTTCCATGGTTTTCAGAGCCAACTTTTCTTCCACTGACATATCATTTCCGTTGGTTCGACCTTTATCCAGCAAGTCTTGATAAAGCATCTCAACGGTCTTCTCAAGCTCCGAGAGGTGAAGTCAATTTAACTTTATTTGATTTCTCGCCTGAGCACCAAATGGCTCCGATAACGTCCAACCGAGAATAGTTCTTACCACATGAGGTTCACCTAGTTTGCCTGACTTATGTTGTGAAATTCTATAAACCCTTAGTACATCACATCCTATCAGCAATCCAACACGTTCAGTCTTACATTTCTTCAGCTCTACATCTTTCAAATGACATAAGGACTGTAGTCGTTTGACATTAGGTTCTACACGTCTTACATTAGACAAAACTGGCACTGCGTAAGCCCGCTCAATGTGCATATAATAGTCTGATTCGCATGATCGCAAATCTAATCAGGTTATGGCCCGTCACCCACTATAGTGATTCATGGTAGCTAATCTAATGTGGACACCTTTGACCTCGAGCTCAAATTCGTTCACTAATTCTCGCAAGACGAGAGTTGAGTTTTAACCGCTGTTGAAGAAAGCTAGAGTTTCTTTTGTTCGATTACCATAACAAAGAATCACTGGAACTATTGCCAAAGCTGCTCTTGGCTCTTCTGATGCTACTGTCGCTTTAGTCATAAGTCGATATCCTGAAACGTGATTAATACTAATATGTGCATCAGGTTGAGAAACATCACTAGTTACATACAACAATCTATGATGTCGCCTGCCACATACTTCCACAGTATTTCATCTTTGGATTTGATAACTTCTAGCCATATGCTTGATATTTAGACACAAGCGTTATGACTTTTGTCTCTGATTGTGTTCAATTTTCCAGTGTGCAACACTGGTAAGAGGAATGGATTTCATTACAGGTGGTACAGACAAGACTCTTATTCCGTTGCTTATTGTTAACGGGAGAATACCATAAAGAAAAAATACTATTCTTAGTGTTGAATAATGTTTGAAGTAAAGTTCCTTTAACTCGTTTAACGATTTGCTACATCTGCTCGTTCTACCACGAACTTAGCTAAATTTACAGATTTAAGCTCTCCACCTTGTCACATATACTCTACGTCCATCTCTACCCACTTAGATCTAAGATTCGAAGGTAGACGTGAAACTGAAGTTCTGAACACCATAACTCTTTTCTGTCCTAGATCGGACAGATCCATAAAATCATGACTTTTAATTGGTGGTTAGCCTACTATTTCGTCTATGAAGGACCTACTAACCATATAATTTTGTCCGAACCGTTTTCTTACAATATCTCTAGCTCACGTAAATCATTTAGATCCGTCCATTATGAAACAATGTTCGATAGCCCTTTTAGCTCGTCCGGTACAAAACTGAGTTAGATTGTTAAGCTGCTTAGAATCATCCTTCGTCGTTTGTTCAAAAACTTAGGAATTCCTTCAAAAAGGTGCAGTATATCTGTAGACTGTCATCAAACTTCTGTACTTATGGCTTAGGTAGCTCTAAATAACGTTCGAAATGACCTGGAACTGCACTCGACATAGGTTGCTCATATTTTTTTATTAAACTATCGTCATAGGGATCAGGATTATTTTTTTATGTTGTAGTTTCTTCAGCTCGATCCACTTTTCAAGTTTTGTCCTTAGCATGACTATATCTAGTTCCAATTGCTTTAGATAAATGTTCGTATGATGTTCTCTTATGAAATCTTTCTGATACTGTATAGATAAGTCTGGCATTCTGAATTCCCTTCAGCTTTACTTGGAAATATATATATATATATATATATATATATATATATATATATATATATATATATATATATATATATACGTGACCAAGACAGTCTTCAAGTGGATCTGAAATACAGAACAAATGTCTATTAACCTAGATAGTTTGCGTCTACCAACATGGTTCGGATCAATAGTTAACCTATCTATGGATTGATGTTCCGTTTTAGTCTGGTCGCCTCTATCTTTCTTTGAAGCCATTATTGCTCAAGCAATGCTTTGTAAACACAACAATCAAATAAATGTGGAGAGATAGCTAACTGATCAAGGTGTTCGACTTTCAGTTACCAAGTCTCAGATTTGAATCTCGCCCAACCTACTTCGGTCTGAGCAAAAGGGGAAAATCCATTAGCTCTCACACACAGTCTGAGGCTCATACCCAAGTATCTAGTGAGTTAATTTAAATTCGAATTTTAGGTAAAAAAACAAATACTACTAACCTAAAGATGATTTTTACTTTTAAATACCGTGTTCCACAGCTCCAAAGTGAAACACAGAAAATTGTTAGTTGAAAAAAAGGATAACTGTATAATTGTAGCCTTGAGTGGAGCAGTGCTTCCCGGAGGATTTAATCCTGTGTCATTCATCTCTCCCGTGTGAGACGTTACCATTGAGTTATTTAGGCATTGACTGACCTCCTACAGGAATGGAATATTTACAATCAACTGATCCCTGAGTGGTGACCAATATTATGTTTGTCAAGTCCTTCAGTCGCAAATGAATTTACTCCCTAATATTAGTTTATGTATTGATGCATACCAGTCTGAAAGCGAGATTTAGCCTTTAGAGGGGGGAAGAAACGAACCTAAGATATACTTGCATTGTTGATCAAAGTGACCAGAAAACTTTGGATTTCATTAGACATTAACAAACATAACTGTCATTTATATAGTCAAAGTCAATAGGTAGATTTCCTGATAGAATATTAATCTCTAAAAAGTTGTTTGAAGAATGTTTTGTCTCTAAGACAGTATCTACTAGGAAGTTTAAAAAAAAATTTTTAACGACATATGATAAAGCTAGTAGATTTTAATGATATACTTCAGAGATAAACAAAAAGCTTACATTAGGTGTAAATTTTTGTTTTAAAATATCACTAGATAAATGACTCCCACGATAAACTTTTAATATCTCATCCAATGACAGTAGTTTAAATCCACGATAAACAGTATCCAGTTGAATATGATGAAATGCATCTACTTTCATTAATAAGCCCTAGACATTAAAATAATAACCGTAAGAAAACAAAAGATCAATAAGTTGTCTGTAAAGAAATCTTACATATGGTTGCATATGATGAGCTTAAAAAAGCATCTGCAAAAAGACCTACAAATTTTTCGATACATAAAACCTTACCATACAGTTATTCTTTATTGAAAAAGTTTGACCATCATAGAACCAATGTAATCAAAGCTGGATTATAGGTGTGAACTCCACCTAATCATTTGCATCAGACTAGATACTCAATGATACATTGACTACTCAATAGTACAGTTTCGATCGGAACATACTATTGCAGTACATAGATGGCAAAAGATAGTGCCTGATTTATTCCGTATTATGCCGTTTTAATAATTATGTATTGAACAAGTCAAGGAAATAACCTCAATACTATTCATTAAAAGCTGAACTGTTAGAGAGATTGCATATATACGAAACTATTATTATTATCATTATTATTGATTGGTCTCATCTCGTAATAGTTTCCTAAACCATAACACTATGCAAGAACTTTAGATAAGTTATTGATGAACCATAATTAACTCATGCGACCACATTCTCCCACAAACTTAACGATTTCAGTTGGTTTGCATACAGAACAACCAGGAGAAGTGAAACATCACTGGTTATTTTATGACCTTAATTCCTATACCTGATGACTCCGGTTATTATTTCATTGTCATGTGGGTTTTTTTTAACTCCGCCTGTAGCTCTTATAGGGTTACTGCCGGTCCCAAGCCCGGGTAAAGGAGGAGGGTTGATCATGGGGTTAGCGTCCCCATCCCGTAGAAAACTAACTCGCTAAAAAAACGCTTACCAGAAAAAATAATCCAAACCATTTAAACTCTGCCCTGGGAGTTAGAAGGTCTTCATTTAGAAGAATTATGACGCTTCATGGTGAAAGCCGAGTTCCTTCGGAAGCCACGAGGCCGATGCCCCTTCTAACAACCAGAGCAAAAAATTTTATAGGTACATGGAACGTCTGAACAATGTCAGAAACCGGGAAAACTAGTCAAATAGCAACGTAAATGAGGAGATACAACTTAGCAGTACTGGGAATCAGCGAAACCCACTGGACCCAAGCTGGACAGAAAAGGCTAGCTACGGGAGAGATGCTGCTATACTCCGGTCACGAAGAGGACAATGCTCCACACACTCAGGGAGTCGCTCTTATGCTGTCCAAAGTAGCACGAAATGCACTTGTAGGATGGGAATCCCACGGATCCAGAATCATCAAAGCATCATTCAAAACAAAGAAGGAGGGGATCTTAATGAATATTATCCAATGTTATGCACCCACAAATGATAGCAACGACGACATTAAAGATCAATTCTACGAGCGGCTGCAGTCAGTCATTGAGAAATGCCCAAGGAAGGACCTAACTATTCTGATGGGAGATCTAAATGCCAAAGTCGGAATAGACAACACTGGATATGAAGATATTATGGGACGATATGGACTGGGAGAAAGAAACGAAAATGGAGAAAGATTTGCAAATCTGTGTGCATTCAACAAATTGGTCATAGGGGGCACAATATTTCCACACAAGCGTATACACAAGGCTACATGGATCTCACCGAACCACACTACAGAGAACCAAATAGATCATATTTGCATCAACAAAAAATTCAGAAGGACAATGGAAGATGTGAGAACCAGGAGAGGTGCTGACGTAGCTTCAGATCACCACCTAGTTGTGGCCAATTTAAAAATGAAGCTAAAAAAGAACTGGACAAGTGGACAAACAGCACTACAAAGGTTCAATACAGCCTTCCTTCGAGATACTGATAGACTCAATGAATTCAAGATAGCTCTCAACAACAGGTTCCAAGCCTTACAAGATCTACTGAAAGAAGAAGAAACTAGTATGGAGGACAACTGGAAAGGCATCAAGGAAGCATTAACTTCAACGTGTCAAGAGGTTCTGGGTCTAAAGAAATACCATCATAAGGAATGGATCTCTACAGAAACACTGGACAAGATCAAAGAAAGGAAGAACAAGAAGGCAGCAATAAACAACAGCCGAACACGAGCAGAAAAAGTCCAAGCACAAGCTGAATACATAGAAGCAAACAAACAAGTGAAGAGGAGCATTAGAGCCGACAAGAAGAAATATGTGGAAGAACTATCAACGACGGCGGAAAAAGCTGCTAGGGAAGGAAATATGAAACAGCTTCACGATACAACGAAAAAACTAGCAGGGAAATACAGTAAACCAGAGAGACCGGTCAAAGACAAAGAAGGCAAGCCAATCACTGAAATTCAACAACAGCGGAACAGATGGGTAGAATACTTCGAGGAACTCCTGAATAGGCCGGCTCCAATGAATCCACCGGACATCGAAGCGGCACACACAGATCTTCCCATAGACGTCAACCCACCAACGAAGGAAGAAATCAGAATGGCCGTCAGACAAATCAAGAACGGGAAAGCAGCGGGTCCGGACAACATACCAGCTGTAGCACTGAAGTCAGACATCGAAGCAACTACAAACATGCTTTATCTTCTATTCAAAAAGATTTGGGAGAAGGAACAAGTGCCGATGGACTGGAAAGAAGGGCATCTCGTCAAGATTCCAAAGAAAGGAGATCTGAGCAAATGTGAAAACTATAGAGGCATTACACTGCTGTCAATACCAGGGAAGGTCTTCAACAGAGTGTTGCTGAACCGGATGAAAGATGCAGTAGACGCCCAACTTCGAGATCAACAAGCTGGATTCCGTAAGGATCGATCATGCACAGACCAAATTGCAACACTACGGATCATCGTCGAACAATCAGTTGAGTGGAACTCATCACTATACATCAACTTCATTGATTATGAAAAGGCATTTGACAGTGTGGATAGGAGGACGTTATGGAAACTTCTTCGACACTACGGAGTTCCGGAGAAGATTGTCAACATTATCCGGAACTCATACGCCGGAGTACAGTGCAAAGTCGTGCATGGAGGACAGCTGATAGATGCATTCCAAGTAAGGACTGGAGTCAGACAAGGCTGTTTACTCTCTCCCTTCCTCTTTCTTCTGGTGGTCGACTGGATTATGAAGACCTCGACATCTGAAGGAAAACACGGAATTCAATGGACAGCTCGAAATCAATTAGACGATTTGGACTTCGCTGATGACCTAGCCCTCCTGTCACGTGTCGTTTGCATGATATCACGTACACATGAACAGGTGCAGATGAAGACAGCCAGTGTAGTAGCAGTCTCTGCATCAGTAGGCCTCAGCATACACAAAGGGAAAACCAAAGTCCTCAAATTCAAAGCGGAAAACAACAATCCAATCACTCTTGATGGCGAAACTCTGGAAAATGTAGAGTCCTTCACATACCTAGGAAGCATCATCGATGAACAAGGAGGTTCAGATGCAGACGTAAAGGCAAGGATTGGCAAAGCAAGGACAGCATTCCTACAGTTAAAGAACATATGGAACTCAAAACAACTTTCAACCAATATCAAAGTGAGAATCTTCAATACCAACGACAAGGCAGTTCTACTGTATGGAGCTGAAACTTGGAGAACTACAACAACCACCATCAAGAAGGTACAAGTATTTATAAATAGTTGTCTACGCAAGATACTCAACATCCATTGGCCGGATACCATCAGCAATAGCCTTCTGTGGGAGAGAACAAACCAACTTCCAGCTGAAGAAGAAATTAGGAAAATACGATGGAAATGGATAGGACATACATTACGCAAATCGTCAAACTGCATCACGAGGCAAGCCCTAACTTGGAATCCTGAAGGGAAGCGAACAAGAGGAAGGCCAAAGAACACATTGCGTCGGATAATAAAAGCAGATATGAAAACGATGAATTACAACTGGACGGAGCTAGAAAGGATTGCCCAGGACAGGGTTGGATGGAGAATGCTGGTGAGCGGCCTATGCTCCTTCACGAGGAGTAACAGGCGTAAGTAAGTAAGTAAGTAATGTGGTTTTTACTGAATATACTATAAATAAACGACAGCTTCAAATCACCAACTAAATATTCAATCAGCATCTCAGAGACATCGCATTCTGAAGTCATTCGCTCAGGATTTGAGGATCGGTTGTATGAGTTCTGGTAGTCACTATGGTAGTTGTAAGATTTAATAGTTCAACCATAAAATTTCACTGTTACATTTCCGCCAATTAGGGTCATAGTACTGTCTTTTAATTGTTCCTCATCCTTTATATAGACAAAAAATTGTCTAGTGACAATCTGTGCATAAGATTGACATGCGATTAAAATAGTAATAATAATAATAATAATAATAATAATAATAATAATAATAATAATAATAATAATAATAATAATTATAATTATAATTATAATAATGGTAATAATGCTGTATTTGATCTACTTGTATTGACCAGTAAACATTTATCATTAATTGCTAACTAAGACAAATCATTTGTGTCGTTGTCATTTTATAATAAACCTTTCCTAAATTAAATAATTTGGGGAAATTAATTTTATTAGTAATGAGGTAACATACTCGTTTTACATCAAAATGTAAACCACGTCTAGCGAACTCAGTATAATCATAGTTCAGAATTTCCTCAGGATACTTGTGTTTGTTGAAGATTGTGATTCGAAGGAAATTTGAATGAGTGCAAAATAGTTTAAAAAAGAAGACCGATTACAAAATGAGAACTTATTTATATCTGAATTGGTAAAATTAAATAACAAATCCTGAAATTTTCAAAAATAATGCTGACTGATATAAAAACAACATTATGCTTTAGTTTATTTACTGGTAATCAAAAATTAAAGATATTAAACGGTTCAACCGTATAACAACAAAGTAAACAGGTGGAACTATTTACGTGTTGAGTCTTGGACACCACTCCACTCGACTAATTCTCAAATCGAAACACGACTTGGACAGAACATAAATTTATTACAAACGAAACGGCAATTCCTGTTCAGCAACACAATGTCAGTGTATATACAAACATTACACTGTAATATTCTTGTCTTCTCAGTTCATCAACTGGCGCTGATCGGTTAAAAGTGGACCAATCAGCGCGCTTCAACGTGATCCTGTTTAACATATGCCTTGAGTAAGCCTTTGTCCTGCTAACACAGTGGTATATAATGAAGTATAATTATTGCGTGACAGTTAGAAGCATTATACGAGTAGTTTAACTAAACGAGGTTAGGCAAGATTAGAGCATATCACACAAATGAATATGTATTTGGAACTAGAACATTGAACAATAATTAATTACATATGGCATTATATGGATTATGCGTTCCATTTAGGGTTGGAAATGGACGGGACGAAAAATATTTGTACAGAAAAGTAAGAACTCCCTCTGCCATGGAAGTCCTACTCACTTACGGGACGAAACGCATGTTATGGACTCCACTGCTAGCAACTATCCGATTGAACAGTTTTAAATAAGCTCCTGAAGGACTACTACCATTATTTTGTGTAACCTAACTAGTTAAGTATTGGTACAAAACACTTTGAAGAGGTAAATTATATGTTAATTAACTTAGAAGTGTGTTTGTCAGCTTTAGAGTCATCAACAAAGAGGTAAATAATATGAACTTTTGACTTGAGTTGTTTTGTCAAACTGATAACTACTCTCACTCTCTATAATTTTTGGTTGAAAGGGTCTTCGAAACGACATAATAGTACATAGATTTTAAAAAGTTGAGCATAAAGCATATTATCCCCAATTTCTTCCATTGATAAAACGGCTTGAAACTGAATCGAAATGAAATACAGCCCCCACTGACATATAGAATGATGAAAACAGTTAATTTCAGACACTGTTTTCACTATATGGGATGGATACTATTCCTCTGTAATTAGTTAAAATTACTAGCCAGATTGTCTATTCATTTATGTGCTGTGAGTGACCAGGATATATAGCAACTACACCGAGTTAAAGAAGTATCTTCTCACCTTTGCTGATATAAAAAAAATAGTTCACGGGTTTTAGTATCACAGTACTTACAGGAACTTCAAGTAAAATTGGTTTGTGAACAACACACAGTAAGACGTAAAAGATTGATATCACTGAACGTTAAATAACATAATACAAGGTAGCATCTGAAAAAAAAACAATAATTAAAAATTAGATTTCCTATTCCTTATGTATGCCCCTTTTGCTTAAGAATCCAAAAACTTATTTGAAGCCGCCAACTTGAAAAAAAAGTAAAAATAGGAAATATATAAACATGTTTCACGAATTATTTTCAACAGCGTATTTCATAGTTTACATGATGACATAGTTAACTGACCTTCATCTGTTCAACAAGCCAGTTACGGGATTCATTGAAAATAAATTCGTCCAAGGCGGATGTATAATGAGCCAATGTGTAATCATAATCAAACCCGTACACTTGAATTTTGCTCAACTTTACTTCATTGTTTACGAATACATCCCGCGGATTAACTTGGTCGAATGTGGTTATGTGTTCTAGGATTGTTAAATGAAACGAGTGAAGTCTCGGAAGAGGTGAAAAGTGATATGATGGAAAGTACGCATTAAATTCACAAGTTATAACAAAAAGAAGTATAGTATCAATAAACATTTAATAAAATATTGATTTGATCAATTCACTCTTGGTCAAGGGGATAAGACGGATATGCAGAACAAAATGTGGGACAGTTTCAATGACCTTCCAACTATCTCCAAACAACCCGAATGGAGGAATTGACACAATTCCTACAAATCTCAGTGAGGATGAAAGGACTATAGTCAGTCTGAAGAAAGGGAGAGCATCAGACCCTGATGGATTAACAACAGATCTCTAAGTCTGGAGGTCTAGTTTTATAAACTAAGCTAACAGAAGACACTAGCTAGGATTTGGGAGCTAGACGAAATACCACTTAACTGGTTTCGATTGCTGATCGTTTCAGTTTATAGAAAGGGGAAAAATCCTCTTGTGATGAAAACAAAAGAATCAACTCTAATAACACAGTGCCTAAAATATTATTCAAATCGACCGTCTGACGCTGTACTAGGGCTTGTGAAGAACAGACCAAAGGAAAGTCAGGCTGGTTTCAGACCTGGGGATGGAAGGACTGACCAGATGCTCAATTTATCAGGTTTTGAAACATATGAACACCTATTGGCGCTCGACGACTGTATTTCTTGACCTTAAGACAGCAATCAAATCCGCTGACCGAGAGGTTTTGTAGCACTTTTTTATTTGAGGGCTTATCAAAAAAGTACGTAAAACTTGTGAGGTCTCTCCTTTCAGACACTATTAGTCGAGTCAGAACTTATAACGAACTGTCCCCAGAATTGTTAGCCTTAAGCGGTGTTCATCAGTGTTTCTCACTGAACCAATTTTTATTTAATTGCACCTCTTGGAACCAACACTTTTTCCACCCAACGTTTTGGAATTGATCTCCTACCCAGTTTATTCATCAACTGAGAATATGCAGGTGAGATAGTCTTATCTAGTGAGGAGGATGATAATTTGCAGTCTTCCGATCACCCTGAAGAACAATGCTAGCATGACCAAAATGGATTTCTTCACTTCTGAATCTGAAGTGTTGCTTTAGGGCTGCTCCGCGTCAGCTCCTGAACTAATAATAGGAAGTCTTGTGTTAGTTTATAAGTAAAACATGGTCTTTGAGAGTATAAAACACGGGTAGACTGAAGGATTTTGATTATAGGTGTTTCCGAAGTGTTGCTTGTGTTTTGTGGAAAGACTTAGTGAGTGATGTTGAAGTTAGATCAAGAGTATCAGGTAAAGTAGTGAAGTGGGTTGATGAGGTTAGGAATTTTCATCAATTTAGGTGGTTAAGACATGTGCCACTCAGTTACCGCTGACCTTGGCAGGTAATATCTTCTAGTGTAGGATTAGGTCAGAAGGTAGCTAGAAGCGATCAAAACAAGAAATGACGTCAATGTATAAAGTAATTGTTTGTTGGTGGGAGCCATAATGATAGATGCAGACTATATATTTAAAGTCCACAAGATAGCTGCGATCAGTGTCTGGATAATATGAGTGACATGACTCATTATTGTTCACAATGACACAGATGCATCCACTCTTCACTTTCCTCCTGATCTGGAACTTCAGTAATTCTTCACATGTATCTTTTTACTCTGTATTTGCGAACCGTATTATCAATGCTTAATCATTCTTACTGTAATTTTTACTATTTTATTTCGATCATTTTTGCTGTTTACCTTGTTGATTACATCTCATCGTGCAAATATGGAATGGCGACTTGGGCTAAAGCACGTTGATAATGACTGATTAAATGACTCAAGAGTGAATATACTAAGTGGTTTGATAACGACTATATTGAACACAATCATAATATCAGAGTTTATTATTGTATATACAGTCAGAAAATTGGAAAAAATAAGTACAACAGCATAAAAACTGACACAAAATATATGAGTCTAATTTTTTTTCAAGTCAGTCAGTGCTAAGCAATGTGACATCAGCGTACTTAGTCCCAATTCGCTACATCACATCAGTACAGTGAGACAAAGCCAAAAAGATAAATATAAAAGTAGCAGAAGCAGTATACAACAAGTACATAATAAAGAAATCAATACAATTCAAAAGATTAAGATAAATAATAAAAAGTATATAAATAACCAAAAAAACCAGTAGATACATGGAAATAACAATAAAATGTCCAAGATTTAGACAAAATAATGAATGCGGGTACTTCTGGGACTGTAACAGATTCCCAAACACTGTGTTTAACAGTTTCAAACGTTAATATCTACCAACTTGACGAACTTTAGGACATCTACATACTACACAGCAATGTTAACCGTTGGTGGCTACACAAATAAACGCTACATTCTGATCTGATAACCTTAAGAATTTTCATAATTCACTTATTCAATCAACATAATTCCAAAGTTAGCCATAACTTGACAAGACACGATAGATTTTACATATGTCTTGAATAGTAATTTCATTTAAGCAGTGATAAGGAGCAAAATTACCATCAAATAATGTTACCTTAAGATTGAAGCTCATATCCACTTATATAACTTATGATATTACTGTTAAATGGAAAAAATATGAAGCCAATCTTTAGTGTTCAGAATAATACATGATGGCGAAAATTAAATTCAGTGCTTGTGAGGTTATGCAAATCATGAGCTATACAGACAAAGCATTTTGTATACCGAAAATTCTTAGGGAAGTTGGACGTATTGCTCTTGTTAGCAGAGTTTGGACTTGGATTTGTGGATCACCATAAGTTTTTTAACCATCCTCCCTTCAATCCAGTTCCTTTGATTGTGTAGATTACTCTGAAGGAACACTCCTTTGGAGCGATGTATCCAGAAATGACTAGGTGCTTCTGTGTTCAACTGATGACTGAGTTGTATTCTCTTTGTAAAAGCTACGCCGGATACGCTTGGAAAGTGGTCGCTTTGTGGGGACAATTTAACCTGCTCCACAAGAGCAGGTAAATTTGTAAATGAACATCGATGTGGCCCAAAGCGGAAGGTTATCCTTAGCACATCCGTGAATGGTAGACCGGCTTGAGAAGACAATACGGAGCTTAGCTTAAGTAAATGATTTTGTCGGGAAGACATTTTTAGCTGAATTTTCTTTGTCCTTACAAACCTTTTGGTAATAAAATATCAGTCATTATCAACATTCCATTGAAATAATTAAGCTTTTAGAGACGGCGAAGTTATAGTATTGAGGTTTCGTTGTCTTAAAAGACTACTATCTCAAATTTTGTTCAGACGAAGTTAGAAGATGAAACGCTACATAACTGATAAATTATTGCACCACGTTAGAGGAATAAATACTGTATGACACAAACCAGAACAGTGTAAAATAAGTAATATAATAGGGAAATTTGCTAAGTAAATATGCCTTTCACATGTTCGCCTATTCAGGAAATAGTTCAAGTAACTAAATTATTAATCACTGACAAACTGTCTAATAAGTACACATAGGGACGCGTATTATGGTGTTAGTTAAAAGTAAACTAACATATTACCTTCGCATTTCTTATTTAACAGAGCATAGTGCTGTTGCATTCTAGTCATTTCAACACCATTTGTAGAGCTATGTGAATTCCGGGAAATGAGGCTTTTTCTACATTTGGGAAAAACGATGAACCAATAGTAACCATTATTTCGACCGAATTTCCTGCAAACTGACATTAAAGATGTTTCACCACAGAAGAATTCTAGATATGACAAGCTTACCACTTAAGCCCTGGTTGACCCACATGCACAAGACGCACCTAAAATTTAAGAGCTTTATTAGGAACATTACATAGTATGAGAGCTATTACGCAAAATATTATACTAATAATAGCTTTTCTACATGTCGAACTACAACCGCTTTGCTTAAAATGCCAATAGGCTTGATTCCGGTGACATGAGGAGAGTTTAAGTTCGATAGACACTTCCATGAAACAAATGAAGTTCAATGGATATAGGAATCAAAACTAAAGTTAAATGTCTCATTATAACCCTTCGAAATTCTAGATGTATTCACCGCATAGCTAATTTTTTCACTTACTACAAACTCATGTTACCAAACCAACTAGCTTCCAAACAAAATATATTCAGCAAGACATGGTCAAACTCAATCTTGAGAGACATATGTTGTTAGGAAATACAGTACCGCGTATCATGAGTTATATCATTTTTGGCGCTTCATGTATGGAATTTTGTGAATCAAATTCTTTCCCAAATTACTGTCACGGTTTTTAAATATTTGTAAGGCATTGAATTAACACAACCTAGCTCTTATTTCCGATAAGCTGAAGAGCAGAAAGTAGATAAGAAAAGCCAAAATACTAATAAATGTTTCTTCATGTTATTCTCTGATTATGGCTGGTTAAGTGTCAAAGGATACTGGGCTGTTGATCAAACTGTCTCAGTAAGTCTTGTATGGATGATGTATGGATCCGCCTAGTCACAAGCACACGGAGAAACATTGGATGGCGCCGATCATGGAGGATGGGAACAATATTCATTATGCGAAACACAAAGATAGAAAACATGAATTTCCTGAACAATATGTTATTTAAAACAGCCATCCCAACCGTTTCAGTAACTGAAATCTGAATAATGTGTAACAAAGGAGCAAGAAATTCTATCTACAACCAATTCATTTTCGTAAAATGATCAGGCGTTTTTTTAATTAAGCTTTACAACCCGTAAGCTGGTGTGCATATACGCAGAGAATTAACTCATGGACCGGATTGACTTGAATATAGTTTTTGATATCATAACTAAATTCGATTGATCAATTGACCTAAAATATTTTGATGAAACAGTACAATACCTTTAAAGTTTTCATCGATTGGAGCTTCTTTAATTAGCAGAAACTTGAATGAGACCATAATTAATGAACGATATTTGAGAGCGATTGAAGTGCACTTGGGGAAATTAAACCACTTAAGAGTAGTAATATACATTACTACTACTACAAATCAATTAGTGATGAAGTCCATATGAACTTCACCACTAAGTTATTAATAAGTGCAAGAGATAAGGACTATGAGTCTCAATCATAGCAAAACGTTTTCACCACTTTATTAATAAAATAATGACTCTGAATAAATTTTACATCACCCTGAAACTAGCACCCTTGGTTTTCGTCTAATGTCCTCGATTTAAAACATATCGGTGTTGGGATAACAGCCCCAGGTCTGCAGTGATGTTCATTTTTCTATTCCTAGACACTCGCATCAAGTGGTCTTAGATATACATTCGAAAATTTAGTTGCTTTTTTTTTTACATCAACAGGTCCTTATTTGTTTAGAATATGTTTGACACTGAAATCCAAAAATTTGCTTAACCATTAATAAATACAGTTAACAAGACTACATAAAACCTAATCCCAACAATCACAGCGGTCTTAAAATTATAAGAACTCTGATTCTACAACGTCCTTGAGGTTGAAACGGTGTAGAGTCTTCAAATGGTTCAAATGATTCAAATGGTTGTGGACGGAATAGAAGAAGCTTTCGCTTTACAGGCTTCCGTGTCTAGTAGCAGGGGATCACCAAATCCTCCAGGCAGGAACCTAGGTATGTGTGATACTATCCTTGGTCCTTAAGAATAGGTCAAGTTGCCTCTTGAAGGACTCCTGAGAAGTCGCTTGGACTAGCTCGGCCGGCAGCGAATTCCAGCTTTTGACAACTCTTAAGGAGTAGAAGTTGTGTCTACATTCCGTCTTGCTATGTTGTGTTTCCAGTTTCTGGGTGTTACCCCTTAGGTTATTATTCGAACTAAGCTTAAGTAGGTGTTTAAGAGGATGTCCAGAAGTGTTAAGAATACTATAAGCCATTAATATATCACCTCTATACGCCTATACTTTAATGGGTAAAGGTCTAGTGAATGGAGGCGTTCTTCGTAAGGCTTAGATTTGAGTCCACGAACTGATTTCGTGGCTCGCCGTATGATACGCTCCAAAGTGACCTTCTCCTTTTGGAGTAAGAAGGGAGTACTATGTTTCCGTACTCTAAATGGGGACGGATAAAACTATTGAAGATTGTATGGAAAGTTCTTCCGTCAAACTGGCCAAAAATGCGCTTCAACGTTATCAGTGCAAGGTTTGCTCGGAAGGCATTTTTGTCACAGTTCTCGTAAGACTTTAAATCATGGGGCACCAGGACTCCTAAATCTTTTTCGACTTGGGATACTACTAGAGAGGAGTTTCCTAAGTTGTAACTGTAGCTTGCGACATGTCGCAGATGGACTACTTTACACTTTGAAGTGTTAAACGTAAGTCCGTTATCGTCTGCCCAACTTTGAAGTCGAGTCAGATCCTCCTGAAGTGCCTGTGTATCGTCTTGGTTGCGTATCTCTCTCCAAAGTTTCGCGTCGTCGGTAAAAAGTAATAAGTCCGACGTTACCAGTTGAGGAAGATCATTTATGTAGATCAAGAAGAGAAGGGGCCCTAGTACTGAGCCCTGGGGGACCCCACTAGGACATTCCATAGCCTGAGATAAAGTTAAATTAACCCTAACCTTAAAGTGTCGATTTTCTAGGTATGAAGTAAGCCAATCGATTAGAGGTGGTTTGATACCTAGTCGTCTGAGCTTATTGATAAGACACAAGTAGTTAACTTTATCAAAAGCTTTTGAGAAGTCAAGGTATATGATATCAACCTTTTCCTTGCGATCGAGGATGCTTGTCCATCTGTCCACCGCAGTCAGCAGGTTGGTTATACAAGAGTAACCCTTCCTGAAACCATGCTGTTGCGGTGAGAAGAAGTTTAAGGACAGTAGATAATCGTTTAAACCATCGCATATCAGGGACTCCATGAGTTTTGAAGGTAATGACAGAAGAGCCACAGGCCGATAACTTGAAGGTTCATTGCGTCGACCCCCTTTGAAAATTGGTGTGATGTGAGCCAACTTCCAATTTTCCGGTAATTTGCCTCGGCTTAGCGAGTGTGAAAACATCACGCTAAGTGGCGTTGCCAGGGTTGAGGCTGCCTCCCTCAGTATGGCAGGATGAACCATATCCGGGCCAGGAGAAGTATCTGGTCTTAAGTGCTGCAATTTCCGGAACACCAAGTCAGCACTTAGGTTTACTTCGGAAAGTCCTATGGAATTGGAGATGAAACTGTCGTTAATAAGGTTGATGTCAGCCAGGTGAAATGTTTGAGAGTAATGTGCTCTCAGAAGGTTAGCGGCGTCACCATAGTTGTTGGTCGGGCCGTTAAGACCTAGCAGTTGAGAAAATCCTGTTTTGGCTTGACGATGAGAGGCTGCATAGCGGAATAGGCTTCTAGGGTTCGAGGCAAATTTGTCCATAAGCTTTGTCTGGTACTGAAGCCTGTCTTCTCTTATAGCCTTCGTGCATGTGTTCCTGATATGTTTGTATTGCCTATACGCTCCATCGTTATTAGTTCGTTTGTATTCCGCCCAACAGTGCCGTTTGCGGCTTAGGAGGCGAAGGGTACGGTTCTTGATTACTGTAGGTGGCTTGAAGCTTTTGGGAACCGTTTGAGGAACTGAATGGTCTGTAGCACATAAGAGCGTGTGCAGTAAGAAGTCCCAATGACCATCCACATCGATTTGAGGGTGAACATCCCAAACCACCTGTTGTAGATAGTCATGTAGAGCTGGCACATTCAGCCGTTTAAAATTTCAACGCAAATAATTGTTGGGGTTCTTTAGCTTAGTTTTGATGACAAAACGGAAGGCTATGACAGCATGATCGCTCTTTCCCAGGAGAGCCAGGATTGAGAGGTTGTCAACTAGGAATTCTTCGTTTGTGAATACACAGTCTAACCGCGATGGTGTCTGAGTGTTTCTCCAACGAGTTGACGACCTCACATTTTCATATAAGCTCAAGTCATCGATGAGGTTGAAGAACCGAGCTTCAATTGAGTTGTCGCCTCCAGTATACGTGTGTTCCGCGAAGTTGACTCTAGGGAGATCAAAGACCCCTAGAATCAGGATGTGTGTGAAACCGAGACGGGTAGAGCGAGATAGTCCTTCCAGCATACGACTATCGTACTCGATGTCGGCAGTTGGCTTCATGTAAGTGACACCGACTAGACACCTCGAAGTGCTAGACAATCTTACAGAGCACCATATAGATTCCTCAAGATTGTTAAACTCGAGGTTGTGAACTTGGTGCACCTCCAAGCAAGAGCTTATGTATATGGCTACTCCACCCCCAATTTCTGTTTTTCTGTCGTTACGGAACAAAGTCATCCCAGGTAATGCTAACTCTTGGTCCGAGAACTGAGAAGATATCCATGTTTCATATATTCCTATCAAGTGAGCTTTATTAGCGTTGCAAAGTTCACGTAATTCATCCAGTTCGTTTGGTAGACTCGAGGCGTTCATATATAAGCAGTTTATGCTTTCAATTTGGAACGCGTGAACTTCGTCCTGTTTTTCTGTATGAGCCTTATGTGAATGGACAGGTAGCCCATCTATGTGAGGTTTACCGAGGTGGAAGGCCCTGTCCTTTACACGTTTTTTTATCGTTTAGACAATCCACAAGTGGAATGGTCAGCTCCAACTTGCCTTTGTGCTTGGGCCTGGCTTCATCTGGCCTGTCCGGGTGCATGTGGATTCCAGGTGGCAATCGATGTCTGTTGGCACGAAATGCTTCCAGAACTGCAGCCGCCATGTGGGAAGATGGGAAGGTTATCTTCATTAGACGGGGTCTAAGATCACCGTCTTTCTTGGCTAGTCTCGTCACATGCTGAGTCAGTATGTATTTGAGCCTCAAGGACTGTGTAATGAATTTCCATTCCCTGATGTCAGAATTTGATTGAGTAGGGTCTGCATTTTTCGGTATACCTTGCACAATTATGTTTCATCCGCGGGAAAAGTTCTCGCGAGATTCTTTAGGGATGTTTCGTATGATATTGCGCTCAGAGTACGGTATGTCGGGCAATATTCTTACGTTACCATCTGATTTCAGCAAGTGACTTGCTAGCAAGACGTCCTCTACATCGGTAGAATTCTTAAATGTTACTCGGAGAATTCTCGGGTGATTTAAATGCTTAGAATAATTTCCTCGAGTGAGCCAGGTAACCGTCAAAGGCTCTATTCTAAGACGTTCGAGGAGAAATATATGGATAAATGGATGGTCGGTATTTACAAGACTTTAGATATCTACTCGCAATCATATAAATAATGACTTCAATAGACTCACTACACCCCCTGTTAACTGACTTCAGGACTCTTCAGAATACAGTAAAGTTTTTTCTCAAAATCCTGGGAAATAATAGTGGTGAACAGTAAAGGATAATACGTAATATACGAGAATTGATAAATCGTAAGAGAAAATGTATAGTAATACCAAAAGCATACATACTCCTTACGCAGTAAATCAAACGGAATACTTCAGTAACATCAAAACATGAAAAGACTAATAGAGATCAGAGGAAAGGCTTACACTAAGACAAATTACCTTCGACTCTGATTATTAAGGAGCCTCCAGTGGTACATGTTTTATGGGATTGCGATGGGGTGCTGTTCATGTCTAGCACTGAAGTTAACAGTTTGAAATTTAAATGAACTACACGTGGGACAATAAACAACAGACCATTGTTTAATTAGGAATAAAAATACTTTCATTAAAAAGAATGTGAAGAGGTAGAGATCGGCATACATGCAGTGAGATCATTACATATTTAATAGAAGTGTTTTCTGTGTGAGTTGGAAGATCATTCAGAAAAAAAAGAAATAAGAGGAGAGAAAACAACACATTGTGGCACATTTTCACTAGTCAGTGGAAACGTTGAGCACTTCCCTCTCAAAACATTGCACTCTCCTCTTCCTGAGAGATGTGGACATAGGTGGTTGGTTATTTAGTTGTCAGTGTTGATGCTGGTTAAATTATTAAGTGGAAGTTGTCTTCAGGTTAGGTCAAAGGCAAAAATACAATCCGAACTACTAATTGAACAAACTTCTCACCATTCTCCAAGCTGGATAATATATTATAATGAAGAACAACAGCACGATCTAAGGCGCTTTTTCTGCATTTGTAGGCTAACTTAGAAGTATCAGCATGCTCTTCTAATGCAGGTTGAAGTATGAGTACCAAGTGCTTTATCATTGCCTTGAGAAAAATGGAAGTAATTACCATACTCTAAATTTATTATTATTATTCACAAACATCTTATGGGTACATAAGTGTTGTGAAGTAACCATTTCGGGTTTCTTCAGAAAATTCAATAATACACAATTTTCAATAATGTTAGCATTATACTTGCCATATTTAAGAAATAAAATAAAATATAAAAAAATTTAGAATAATAATAGTAGAATATTAATAATAATAAATCGGGTCTGTGTAACTGAGAAGAATACTGAATTGAGTTTAAAGAAGGAAATGGAGAAAATAAGGGAATAGAAATAAAGGAGACGTGAAATACGCAAACAGTGTAATAGGCGTGTTTATAAACACAGAACAAGAATAAACGACTATGTGTGTGTCGTTAAATTAGTAACAAAAAATAATTTATCACTGTAGTAAGATATGACGCTAGAATAAATGTTTGTGCAGTTATAGTTTAGAGTGATGCCATGAAAGTCACAATTAAGTGAAAAGGATAATAAACTATCATTATGTATGAGTCATATATGCATAGTGAAGATAAAACGAATCTGAGAAGTTAATTAAAGTGTAACACAAGTTATTGTCTTAATTAGAAACTTCATAATCTTAAGAATAAGATTTATTTAGAAGGGAAGAAGAGAGAGAAAAGAAGTGAACACCTAGTGAAAAGGTTCATCCATGATAAGAATAATAATTGTGTAATGAATATCAACCTCAGAAGGAAACCAGCAATTGAAAAAAATAAAATAAAAATCCTTTAAAGGACTCGGATGTATACATTTTGATTTATGTAATAGTACACAGAATGAAATCGGATATTAGTATAAATATTTGTGCAATAATGATGAAGATTGATGCTATGAAAGTCAAAATTGATATCAAAGGACAATCTGGAGTTAAATATGTTTAGAAGGATATGAAGAGATAAAAAGAATACCTAATGTGTCGGGGAATTAATAATGATATTAATAACGGTAATAATGATAAACACGAACATAAGCAGACTTCATATATTAAGATAAATAGAAATAAAATAAAATAAACGTGAAAAGATTAAAAGGTTTTATTTGGCTTTTCAAGCAATTAAATAGATGACGGACCTTGTTTGTATAAATCACTATTGAATACATTGATATTCAATAGGTGACATAATCCACTTTCGGAAAGAAAATCGTCAAGGAGACTTTTGAACCGGGTTGTAGTTTCACTGCAACGGAGGTTCACTGGCAGTCTGTTCCACATGGTTGAGTAGCGAATAAGGAAAAAATGCTGACGTAAGTTTGCGTGGGTTCTTGGAATCGATGGAATATTCTCCTTATTGCGTAGATTATGGGATGATCGACGTTTCCACTGACTAGTGAAAATGTGCCACAATGTGTTGTTTTCTCTCCTCTTATTTCTTTTTTTTCTGAATGATCTTCCAACTCACACAGAAAACACTTCTATTAAATATGTAATGATCTCACTGCATGTATGCCGATCTCTACCTCTTCACATTCTTTTTAATGAAAGTATTTTTATTCCTAATTAAACAATGGTCTGTTGTTTATTGTCCCACGTGTAGTTCATTTAAATTTCAAACTGTTAACTTCAGTGCTAGACATGAACAGCACCCCATCGCAATCCCATAAAACATGTACCACTGGAGGCTCCTTAATAATCAGAGTCGAAGGTAATTTGTCTTAGTGTAAGCCTTTCCTCTGATCTCTATTAGTCTTTTCATGTTTTGATGTTACTGAAGTATTCCGTTTGATTTACTGCGTAAGGAGTATGTATGCTTTTGGTATTACTATACATTTTCTCTTACGATTTATCAATTCTCGTATATTACGTATTATCCTTTACTGTTCACCACTATTATTTCCCAGGATTTTGAGAAAAAACTTTACTGTATTCTGAAGAGTCCTGAAGTCAGTTAACAGGGGGTGTAGTGAGTCTATTGAAGTCATTATTTATATGATTGCGAGTAGATATCTAAAGTCTTGTAAATACCGACCATCCATTTATCCGTATATTTCTCCTTGTATATATTCTGGTAGAATGAGACGTCAGTACATTACTGTTCATGCACGCAAGGAAAACCATGAAAGGTCAGCAATACCCTACCTAGCAAATGTACTGTGTGACAAACAGGCTGTTAAAACATGGTTTTCAGGAAGAGTCATTCTTTTGTAACCAACCTGCTGACTTCGGTGAACAGATGGACAACCATCCTTGGTCGCGAGGTGAAGGTTGACGTCATTTACCTTAATTTCTCGAAAGCTTTTGATAGGGTCAACCATACATGTTTTATCAATAAGCTCAAACGATTGGGTATTAAATCATCTCTACTTAACGGGCTCGCTTGAGTCCTAAAAAGTCGGCATTTGAAAGTTATGGTTAACTTCACTTTCTCTCAGGCCATGGAATGCCTAGTGGGGTCCTCCAAGGTTCAGTACAAAGACATCTTTTCTTGATTTGCATAAACGATCTTCCACAACAGGTATCATCTGACGTATTACTTTTTGTTGATGATATGAAAACTTGGAGAGAGATACGCAACTGAGAGGATATACTGGCACTTTAGGAGGATTTAACTGAAATTCAAGGTTGGGCAGATGACGACGAACTTATCTTTGACATTTCAAAGTGTAAAGTAGTCTATCTGAGATATAATGCAGACTATGGCTACAACTCAGGAAACTCCCCTCTAAGGGAATCTCAAAATTCAAATAGGTCTAGGAATGTTGGTACCCTACGATTTGAACTCTTACGCTAACTGTGACAAAAATGCCTTTCGAGCAAACCTTGCACTGGTAACATTGAAGCGCATTTTCGGCAGTTTGACGAGTAAACTTTCCACACATACTTCAACAGTTTCATTCATCCACATATGGAGTACGGAAGCATAGTATTTCCTCCCTCACTCCAAAAGGATAAAAACACTCTGTAACATCCGACGGCGAGCCACAAAATCAGTCCAGTGACTCGAAAGCAAGCCTTGTGAAGAGCGCCTCCAATCACTAAAATTGTACCCGTTAGAATACAGACGTCTTGGAAGTGACCTTCGTAAGACTCACAACATCCTTAACAATTCTGGGCATCACCTCAAACACCTAGTTAAGTTTAGCTCCAACACAAACCTAGGGGAAAACACCCAGAAAATAGAGAAACAGCATAGCAGAACGAACCGTAGGCACAACTTCTACTAATTAAGAGTAGTCAAATAATGGAATTCGCTGCCGGCTGAGCTATTCCAGGCGACTTCCAAGGAATACTTTAAAAGAAAACTTGACATATTCTTAAGCACTAGGTATAGTATCTTATTACAATTTACCAATTTTTTTCCTCTTTTATCGCTAATATACCTAGGTTCCTGCCTGTAAGTATTGGTGATCCACCGCTATTAGACACGGAAGCTCCTTCTATTCCGTCCAAAATCACTTGAAACATTCGAACCATTTGGACCTAGTCAACAACTTGTATTCTTGAATCAAGAAATGTAAATATCCAAATATTCATCAAAAAAACAATTCATTCAACTCCAGGTAGTTTATTTGCTTAATTTATTCGTATATGAACAATATTGTTTTCGATTAGATCCTCATCAGGCTTTACTCTAATATACAGTAATATTTATATGCATATACGAAATTTATATATATTAGAGTAAAGCCTGATGAGGATCTAATCGAAAACAATATTGTTCGCTTATATATGTTGTTCTAAATTTACAATATGGGAATATTTCAAATTATTCGTATATGCATGCACCTATCGGTTTTTTCATTTGTTTTGTAAAGTAAACCTGCTGAAACACTTTGTACTGAAAACATAATATTGTGCTAAAAACAAAATATGTAGTAAAGTCATTAATATTAGCAAATATGAGAGTCTGTCCGGCTAAAATGTTTATTTCGTCCACAACTATTTGAACTGCCTGAACCGCAGTATCCAATCAATGCGTTACTCTTAGGCGAATCATGATGCCTTCAACTCATAGTATATTAGTTCCGTATGTACAGAAGAAGGAAGCTATAAATGTTTGGGACAGCTATAAAGTTAGTTTGAAAAGGTGATAAATCAACTTGTAGAATGGAAAACCATTACAACTTGTACATCGCATTAACTCCGTTGCTATTTCCATAACACCTCCTTACAAGTATGGTCTTCCAGATGGATATAATGTACGTGACTTTTGATTCCCTTGTAGAGTATTCTAGGTCAATCTTTACAAATGTGATAGTGATAAACGTTTCCGTAAATTAAGTGGATTTTCGGCTCGAGTAGTTTGTTGTAATTTTAGAAATGATGGGAAACTTGTCATTGTGGGTGAAGAAGGCGGAACTCTGCGTATTTGTACTACGGACAAAAACAAGTTTCATCTTCGGAAGATGAAAGCACACCAGGGGTATGTCTGACCGTTTTTTTGTAACTTCGTAGTTCTATTACATCAGCTTCATTTTTTTACGACGGGTTACGTGCAGCTAGTCTTGGATCAGATGCAAGTGTTCGAATTTGGGACGTCACACTGGGTTCCCCATTAGGACGTTATGCAGTTTGCAATGGAAGCGAAGCTGCTCGTGGCATGGTAACAGGGAGAGTCGACAATAACCTCTTATGCTTTGGTGACCTTAATGGAAATGTTGCCATTTACGATGTGCGCGAGGTAAGGCTTTTAGTTGCGGTTAAATCTTGTCATTCAGTCACTGAAATTTTGGGCACTTCTTACTGTTCGTAATGTAGATCTTTATCTCGTTCAAAGTAGGATTGATATTTGTTTAGATCAATCCACGGAAATAAGGTTTCTGTGCATAATAGAATATTATCCTTAAAAGATTATAATGGGACAGAAAAAATACTCAAGCGGCTTGTAAAGAATCCCCTGAAATTCAGGTTGTTAAAAGTGGTAACGATAAAATTGAGGAAATAAAGTTTTTTCATAGTTACTTAGAGATCAGGCTATCACATGTGTATATACGGATAATAGATCTATATATTTAATATGACGGGTAATGACTACTCCCGTTAGCTATCCCTCATATTAAACATAGGTCATAGTGAAGTTAGAGAAATGATTGAGTCCATCCTTTTGTGCCAAAAAGTCTAACAGTTTTTAGATTGGTTTTAAACTCTTTCTGGCAGATATTTTATTGCTTTTATTTTCTAAAAGCTATAAATGTAGTCATCAGTAAATGTAAACAAGTTGAGTCGCTTCATTTTAGGTTTAGTTTTATTAAAATGCTCTTGTTAAGGCGTAGTAGATAAGTGTTTTATATTCTGGTGTTACGTATCAGCTTGAAAAATAACCTTAGTTGACATTGATGTCGTTGACTTATTTCATATGGACTTGCTACTAATAATAGAGATACACAAATGCACCAATTACTTTGTCATTTCCAACGATTTACTATGTAATTTGAGCATGAAGTGTAATTAATTTTAAGATAATCCTCACATTGGTAATGTAAGTGGTGTGATATACTTATAGATAGTCTACAATACGTGAGTTATAAAATAATGAAATACGTTCGTATTTCTACTGTCAATGCGAATATAGCTATAAATTCTACAAGGATTCATCCAAAACTGTAGAATACCGCCAAAAACAAAAAGACGAAGTAAAATATGTGTTAATCTTAGCCGTTGGTTTGAAAAAGTAAGAAAAGGTAATTGTCCTCAGTACCTGAAATATACTTGTATTAGGCTTTTGAATTTCTAAGGTTTTTAGAAACAACCGCCATCATCGAAAGAGAACAAGTCCTACCATCAAAAAGCACCGTTCGAATACTAGTAGTGATAACACAGGGTTAATAGAAAAGTCCAGCATTTTGGTGGGAAAAAATCTTGAGTTTTCTATTTCTCCATAGAACAGGCTATGTTATGTAAAATTTACGGTTTGTTTCTACTTCTTACGATAAAGTAACCAAAAATTTGCACTGGGCTGTGTATTTAAATAGGAATCATAATAATTTAGTTCAACTTGACAGTGTATATGAACTTCAGTTTAGTTTATACAGTTTACTCACTGTTTTGATTCCACTTTCAAGCCAAAACCTGTTCAAAAAATCACATTTCCGTCTGCGGTCTCTGCTCTTGCTCTTAGCAAGACGGATAAAATTTTGGCTGTTGCTGCTGGTTCAGTTGTACAGTCCTGGGATTTCTCAGCTCAGAAATTTCATGACTATGGAACAAGTCAAGGCCTACATCTTCATTACAAAGTTATTACTGGTTTATTCATTGAACAACATCCCATTACAGATGAAGAAGTACTTTTATCTGTTTCGCTAGACAAGCTCGTCAAGTTCACCAGTCTGCTGGATGGTAAAGAATTGTATCAGCTCCAATGTTCATCGCCTTTGACTGCTATAGGTGTCACGGTAGTTTACTTTTTTGTTAACTAGTTTTGTACCCTTCCACTCCTGTTCTGGTCCATCCATTTTCATTGAAGTAACAGGAATAGCAAGGGTGTTATAATTTACGCATTTGATGATCCGAAAATCGATCTGTATCAACATATCAAACAAAATATGTCTTAAGAATTGTTTCTTCCTGTGCTTAAACTAAAGATTTTCTCCTATTCGTTAGAACGTTCGGGTTCGCTCCTGACGATATAAATCATTGGATCCATTCGGATCTTTTATGCCTGCTTTACTATTTGTTTGTTTCGTGGTAATATTATGAGTTATCTAATTGTTGGTTGTAAAATAGTATAAATCTACCGATGAACTGCATTTTGATCATATTTGTTTCATCAGATAATCCCGCCTTCTCAACTTTTGTGGATGAAATACACAATACGACGTGTTTACTTAATTTTAAATGTCAGTTACTCATTCTGTAGTCCTTTCCTGCATAATTTACCTTTATACTACCTGATGATAGTCTGCTTAATACTCTCTATTCAGTGTTTTGCCGAATTAAGCCTCATCACTTTAAATTTTGTACCAGGTTAGATAACTCATTTTTCTGTTCCTGTTTATACAATATTGTAGCCAAAGTGTGGAAGTCTTGTAATAGGAGGAGAACATGGTTTCGTTAAAATCAAACACTACGACTCGAAAATAGACACATTTGTCTCGGCTTCATCTGAGGGGCAAAACAAAGCGTCTTCTAGTGACACAGAAGATCCATATATGAGTTTATTGTCTCAGTTTTCAAAACCAAATAAAGGCGATCGCTTTATGTCAATGAAAATGAACGAATGGCTAGAAGTACCCTTAACTGGTTCTCGCCGTGCTCCCAGGGACTGGTTTTCACCCGAAAAATTTAAAGCAACCGAAAGGCCGTATGTTCCTTTAATTCACCAAGTAAGCTCTTGATACCACTGTTTCATTTAAATTTTCTCAAACAATTTCCAAGGGTTTTTCAGTTCCTAGCCCAAACTCTTGCTAGAACTATATTTCTCATTCAAAATAACACTAAGATCTTCATTGCCTGTTTTTAGAAACCTGTTTTCGTTAAAATCCTTTGATCATCATAAGTCCCATTTGACATATTGTCTAGAATACTATAATCAAATCACTAAGTGAGCTAGTGTATTTAGTTATGAATACAGACGTTAAGTAAACGGAACAGTCGAAGTAGTAAAAATAAAAAATCAGATGAATCTTCAGGACAAATTTGTGTTGGCAAACTGGTCGTTGATAATCTTTGTATGACAAGTGTCTCCAAATGGCAGTATTCTTAATAAATTGTATATATCGTTTGTATGAATGGTAAGAAAGACCGAGAACTAATTCCTTATCAGTAATGATCATATTAGTTTGTAGACCGGGATACTAACCCAACGTCTAGATCGAAGCAGGTTTTTTTCTCGGTGGGTTACCCCTTTTTGTCTTTGATCTAGAGATCTGATCCGCAAAGCAGTAGAGCAACGTTAGGAGATGTTCATACGCCATTCGTTCTCGCGGAATCTTTCTCGATTGTAAAGTTAACTGTATCTTCTATCATATATTGTCATTGTTTACTGTATTTATTTATTTATTTGTGTTCCTCTTTCAAGTATACTTCCTCTCCCTCTTCTTCTCTTCACAATGTTACTTCTCCATTCTGTGTGATACATTCTATTTTTTAGTTACTGGTTGTACCAGATTTTATGTACCTTAAGTAAATAAAAATGAGATAAATTGCTAACATTGTCCTACAATATTTACCACAAAATGCAAGTTGTTTATACCCATAACTTGTATTTCTTGTTATTAAGATTTGATTTACAAATAGCCTTTAAACTTTTAAAGACTATTTCTAATGACTTGATTTCCTTTCATATTTACAATGAAAACAGAAAACGGAAATATCACGCAGTGGTCAGTCGTTTTACTCTCAAACACTGACAAATACATATAATCGAGTAGACGTTCTACTTAGACGTTTTAATCACTCTCGTGCGTTGACGTTAGCTTTAACCTATCGATCATGGATGCGTCGCTTTAAAAGAAAAACCATTCCTACCCCTCAATATTGTTTAAACTTAGCACTTGCTGTTGTACGAGAATTAATAAGAAGAGATACGTTAGTTGCCGCAATCGCAGGTAGAGATAATCGTCAGTTAGAATACATTTTTGGATTTATTTACAACAATATTTGGCGTAAAGATTCATCTGCAGTTTGCTTAGAATTATATCATTGTATATTAAGTAAGTTCCCACTTTAAGACTGCTTTTTAACAGTCTATAGTACCATCAGTTTTATAATTTATATTGATTGTTGAAAACAGATAAATAATTTGAGAGATTGTAAACTAAAATTTACTGTGCAATACAGAACAAATAAGATTAAGTTTTCGATAACCTTGTTACTTAAATTTCCCGATCTTAGCAACATATTAAGCTTAACAAAAAGCATGCTTTTGAGCTTCATTAATTTTTCAATACCATAATACTTATTCTTTCCTATTAGATATTATTAAATCTCTTAGGAAATGCGCTTATTTGATTGGATTACATTCTCCACTTTGGAAATTTTTGTGAATCGTAATTACTAACTCCACTTCAAAAGTGATTTGAAGATTTATTGTAAAGTGGCCAAGTTGTAATTGTTGGTGAATATATCTGCATCCATATTTATCTACTGTGATAGTTGCAACGTGTGCTTGTCAAAGTCGGCAGTAAAAGGTGTCGTTAAGATGTAAGTGAAGTGAAAGAGAATCATACATAATGGAAGGTACAATTCAGTTAAAAATATTCCTTTAATCTAAAGGAGATTTCACTTTAATGTAGAGTGGGAAATAAATTATAGTAATATGTAGTTAAAAGTCAGTTATTGATTACTCACATATATTGGTTCAATAGATTGAATTCTGAAGTTGCTAATTGCGGATATATATGTTAATTTTGATTCCGTTTGTCACCGACTGAGTGATTTAGTTTTATGAACTGTTGTGGATTTTTATTTGCTAGTTATTGACAATAGCTAAAGAGGTTATTAAAATTTTAATCTTCACTAATCGTTAATGATTAATTTTACTGAAAAATTATCATTCTTAACAAATTAATAATTGTGGTCATCACTGAGACACTTTATTACTTACCTTCGAACACCTTAGTGAGGTAACTAGCGAGGACAACATAAGTTTCAAATTGTAGCTAACACTATTGTACATGCTTTATAATTTCACGCCTTACGTTTTAAACTCTCATCGCATTTTTTTTCGACAGACACATATACTGCTGAAGAACTGACGAAAACCCGTGGATTCGCAAAAGTTACTAGACTGCTCGAACTCACATCTTCAAACTTCTATGCTTTAGGCAGAATCGTAGACACAATTGTATATCAGTCCCGCGATTTACCACATTCAAAAAATGAGCAAGTTGTAGAAAGTATGTATAATTATTCCTCATCTAATTCAGAAAATTCACCAGAATGCAAAGAAACATCTGTAACTAATAAGCGCAGAAAACTTAATGTTACTTAGTTATTGTAATCCTGTATAGTGAAAATAAATTTCCTTTCTGATATCCATGTTTGTGGTTACCAGTTCGGCTTTCAGGTAATACAAATCTTTTGCTGTTTGCAAACGAGAATTTCTGTTGGAACAATAAAAGATTCCCACAAAATCCAACCGTAACCACTCAAAAAATCTCAATACTTTCAAAGCACTTGGGTAAAGTGGAACCTAACGCTTCAAAACTGTTATAACTTGTGAACCTGTGTACCTTGTTTATTGTATAACGCAACGATACCGCCAATCAGAGAGCAGCGAATTATCGATCGAACCAGTGACTCATAAAACACGTGCGAAAAGCCTAGAGTCCCTACTGGTCTCACTTCCTGTCTAGCCCAGTCAGTTAAGTCCAGAACACCAATCTCAACTTATGCAATATGAATCATTTATTTCAAACACTCGGTTTATGTATCAACCAGACACCACAACGTACAACAAAATATGAAACATTTGTACAAGAATTTGCCAAATGTGGCTATGAATGAGGGAGATAGTAATTAATAGACAGGCCGTAACCCAAGAATGGTAAATCGTATAGTAATAGTCTATGGGTCAAATTAAAGCTTATAATAAGAGCGACATGAATATGAACATTTTAGTCACAACAATTATACGATAAAAATACACTCATAGTATTTATCCATAGATGGATCCAAAAAGTTACCATTCATTATTCTTATCAGAATATAACAAGGACCTATACCCTTAGTGATTGATTCTTGAAAATACCGAAATTTCCCATATATACCAGTCCTTTTCACACTAAACCATCTCCATTCTAAACTACAGTAAACGTTCTGAGTTCCTTTTATCCTGTCAGTTGCTTAAAGCTATTTCCTTTTAGTTTACTGATGTCAAACATGGAAACCTAAAACTATGCAAGGTCGTACCAGATACTACTTTAACTGCTACTAACAGTTTAGGATGGTTAGAACCATTATGGGTATTTTGTTTTGGTGCGTCGGGTTTTTGAATCTCATGTAAAAGTACATTTCTGTTTACCTATACTTCAAATGTCATAAATGTTTTAAACAATGTAACTCGATTCCTGAAAGTTCACATCTAGTTGGCGATCTTGCATGAAACTCTCCACATTAAACTCAAACTACCGTGGGTTGATAATGAACTAGTGTTTCTGTGTGGCTAATGGCGACCACACTAAAATCCATTTTTATTATTTCAAGATAATCATATTGTTATGACCTTGAATCACTTTTACCCCGTTGATACTTGTTATGACTTGACCTTGATCTGTCTAGTCTAAATTATGAGCTTGACGCGATAGGGTGAGCGGCCTAGCCTTGAGCCTAGTACGCGTGAGTTCGAGATGGGGTAGAGAGAACTATTCTAGAACCTGATTGGTTGGCAAGCACGCAAGTGAGAGAAGACAAGACAGTTGGAACACTGAACTCTGGATTCTCTGAATTCGGATTAGTACAAAAATGTGCATGAATGAATAAGTGGATATATTGACCACGTCGTACAATAATTTGGAAAAATACAGTTATGCCCGAAACTGGGAATTAGGGTAGAAAATACGGTGCAAAATATTATGTTTAAATTACAATATTTTCGGAACAATAAATGGTATGGTAGTGAATGATACATAGAACGAAAGCTTATGTTATGTAGAATAAGAGAGGGACAAAAATAAATGTGTTTTACAGGGTTTGAATGAAATGAATTAACGTCCCAAGAAAATGGCTTTCGTAGTTGTCTGGGCTTCTTAATTCCCCGTACACAACACATATCCGCAATAATTTTTTTTCTTCTGAATGTATTTTCAATTATTGATATAAATTTTTAATGGAGATTTCATTGTCTTGTAACTCCCGATATATTTCCTACTAATTGTAACATTTGGGTACCGAGCTTCGAGGTAGGTATAATAATACTTTTATTAGTCAGTTAACAACACGAAGTCGAACATGGCAACAGTTAATAGTTTCAACTTTGCTATAGCCATATAACGGTGGGCTTTGTTTGCTACGAATCTGTCAGATGTACAATTATATCCAAAATATATGAACCAATCGACTCTACATATACTTGACATTTTTGTGATGCAAAACATATTCTCTGCCTATAAACGCTGATAACTGACTAATTAAGTAGTTTTTACGGCATCGTATAAAAATTTATGTAACTGGTCGTTTCTTGTAGGTCTTCAACCAACAGATTTGCGCACCATTCTGAAATATCTCCAAAATATTGTAGATAGAGAGATCTGAAAACCTTTTTAGCTGTACTGATGGTTTAAATTAGTGTAGACAGGTAATTTCCTGATATTATTTCACTAAAATATTTTGTACACTGAACTTTCAGTATGCTGCTAATGAAATTATCTCTAACATAATTCCATAGCATAGTTTCGTACAACCAATGAAAGGTAGGTCAGATGGCAAGAAACAAAACTACTGCTGGTCTAAAATGTGTTTAGCATTTCTGGATAAATGTGAATATATATGACCGACACATAACGTAGGAAAAATTCAGTTTGCTTTTGTTGAGTCAGTTTGTTGTACGCCTTGCAATTTGTGTGAGACAACGTAGCCAGTATTTAGAGAAAGACTCGATATATTTTTTGTACATGATTTTCAAATATGAAGAGTAACCCATTGCACAAAGATATGGTTTAGTGCCACTATGTTTTACTAGGTCTCGTGGTTTTCATTACACATATCATATAATCACGCTGCAGTATCATCAGTGTTCTGAGAATGACCAAAATGCGTCACAAGACAAGCCCTCACATGGAATCCTCAAGGCCAAAGGAGAAGAGGAAGACCAAAGAACACATTACGCCGGGAAATGGAGATAGACAACAAGAATTGGATAGAATTAGAAAAGAAGGCTCAGGACAGAGTGGGCTGGAGAATGCTGGTCGGCGGCCTATGCTCCATTAGGAGTAACAGGCGTAGTTAGTCAATCAGTAACAACGTAGAACTTCGTACGTACGTACATCAGTTCAAGTTGCCACACCACATTAGCACAGAGATGCAGTGGTCTATTCAAATCCCGTAGTGCTAGATGTAGTAAAATTATAAGCTGTAATCAGAAAAATTAGGATTTGAAGATGTTATTCAAAGAGTATAATCCAGTGAAATAAATTTGGGAAGAGAATAAAGAAAGGGACATGAAGAATTCAGAAGATTAGAATATGGGAGAACACAAAGAGTGGATGCACCTGCGCCATTGCAAACGATTTTGAGCCATGTCATTCAGGGTCTCTAACCATCGGTTGCTATCATCCACGGTCCCCAACCAGGTAGTCTACACCTACCGACATGACTCAGACCACTTGTCAGTGACTTCATGGACTTGTGCCATGTTTTGGTCTGGCCGCCCATAGCTTTTTTCCAATCTACTCCTATACAACACAACATCGCACGTCGAGGCAGTCGGTGGTTGGGCATACGTAACACGTGTCCCAGTCATCTCAACTGGTGAAGTTTCACTACGTCATCAATTGATTTGCCATCCTTACCTAGTACCCGTTTCCTAACAACTGCATTACTTACTCGATGGTCCCAGGATATACGAGCAATATTTCGAAGGTACCTATGCTCAAATACTAGTAACCTACGAATATCCTCTACGCTTACCGGCCATATTTCACTGCCATGAAGTGGGACGGAACGAACTGCTGCGCAGTAAACCCGTCCTTTGGTTGATATACGGATATCTCGCCTACGCCATAAATGACGCGAGTTGGCATAAGCTAGTCGAGCCTTCTGTATCCGTGCTGAGATTTCGTCACACCAGACCACAAGGGCTGACGAGACTTCCAAGATAAGTGAAGCGGTCGACACACTCAACTACTTCACCCCCTATCACTAGTTCGGGTGTCGATGTAACCCAATCCTGAAGCAATATTTTGCATTTCGAGGGAGAGAATCGCATCCCGAACATCCTCGCATTGTTGCTTAGAGTGGTCAGAAGACTCTGTATTTTGTCAGCGTCTTCACCAAATAAAACTATGTCATCAGCATATTCTAAGTCAACAAGTGAACCTCCCGGTAGAAGTTCAACCCCTGGAAATTTAGATGAGGAGAGTGTTATCTCTAAAAGTACGTCGACGACAAAGTTGAACAAGAATGGAGAGAGTGGACAACCCTGACGAACACCACTTGACGTAATCAATTCCGATGACAGTTCACCATAAGCTCTCACTCTACCAGTTGTGTTCGAGTAGAGAGCCTGAATAAGGTTAATGTACTTCTTTGGTACTCCTTTCAGTGACAAACACTGCCATAGAACCTCACGATCAACAGAGTCGAATGCTGCCTTAAGGTCGAGAAATACTACCATTGTGGGGCGTCTAAACGTGTGTCTGTGTTCTAGAACCTGACGTAGTGTGAATATCTGATCTATACAACCACGTCCAGGTCGAAAACCGGCCTGATTTTCTCTAGTTTGCTCTTCACGAGCTTTGATTAGGCGTCGAAGTATTATTGAAGCTAATATTTTAGACACTATATTAGTCAAAATGATTCCTCTGTGATTGTCACAAGAGCACTTTTGTCCTTTCTTATAGACTGGCACAATCAGTGATTGAGACCAGTCAGATGGGATTACGTCCAGTTCCCAATTTCTACCTAAGACCTCGGTTAATCTCACTGCTAATACTGAACCACCATCCTTAAAAATCTCAGGAGTAAATCTGTCAGGGCCTGCTGCTTTCCCTCGCTTCAGATTTCCTATGGCTTTTTCAACTTCGTAAAGAGACGGAGGACCTACATTAACTTGCCATTCAGGTTGACTAGAGATCGTGGGAAATCGAAGTGTGGCTGAAGGCCAGTTGAACTGATCCCTGAAGTGTTCTGCCCATCGATCTAATTTCCTGGATTGAGAGTGTATAATATGTCCATCTTTCTCTGAGAGTGTTTCGCTAACGGTCGGTTTCCTAAACAAGTCTGAACAATTGTCTGCTATTACCTATTGCCGCTGCCTTTTCCATCTCTCTTGCTTTCGCTACCCACCACTGTTCACGATCATTGCGTAGACTTCTTG